CCTCGAGCCACAAGCAGGTCCACAACTATGTAGAGGCACACAGAGCGGGTACTTGCCCAGTTCCAAGGCCCCGAGAAGATCAGGTCGGACAGAAGGGGGGGAAGACCGGAAGGTTGGGCGGAAAAAGAAGATCAGGGCATTTCGTGGGCATCGTGGACATCAGTCAGCGAGTCAGACCACTCAGGATGTCAATCCTCGCTGTCTCTGTAACTCCAGTAACCTCAGGCTGTGCACCTATCACCACCGCAGACCCTCCAGCACCTGGCAGGACTCAGGAAACGTAACACAGCGGGTTTGCATTGCCAAAGGGGATGTTGATGCGGCATATCCGCACGCCGATGCACCTATGGTGTGCCAGTGTGCCAGAAGCCAGCACAAGAGAGTTTCCGGTAGGCGGGGCCCTACCCTAGGATTGGTCCCGCCCTGTCTGGACGGAGATCCGCTGATATATAGCGATGACGGCGCTAGCCTGACTCAACGTGATGCAAAGGGCTGTCCAGACGGTGACGGCCGGAACTCCAGCAGAGAAAGGGGGGGGGAGGACGTCGTGATGGAGCCATGAGCTGATGGACTTTGCGAGTTCTCGATGGTGGTGGAGAAGCAAAAGAAGGGGTGTTTCTGCCTGGCAGCACCATCAGGTATGACATCGAAAACTGGGTTTGGGGAAAGGGGGGAAAATCGATTTGCGACATCCAAATAACATCATTTGGGTGGCTGAGCATCAACTCGAGTCCGCTGACAACACCTTGACGTTACCACCGCAACGCCCACGCTGACTGCCTCGAATGGAGTGCATCCAGCTTTCATGCCGACTTTTGGACGGCGATGTTTGACAGCGCAGGTGTAGGTGCCCAGAACCTGGATCGGATCTCAGGGTCCTTGGAATAACACCTACACTACAATCACGGCAGAAACCCTTAAGTCTGGCCGTCGAGTAGATTGTGGCTAAAAGATGCTCGGGCTTCCAGAAGCCCAACGGAAGCCGGCAATGATAAGGGTAAAGTAGGGTGCCCTGATTGGAGCAAATGCGATTTGTAATTGGGACTTCCAGAGCAGTGGAACTCCAACGACAGGCATTGTGCAACGAAACGAGGGCCCAGAAGGGCATGGAAAGGTGCTTGGGAATACAGGATAGGTAGAAGGGCTCGGATGAGTGATAATCTCCATGCGTCCAACTCCTTGTGTACAGGAAAGCCGCACACTTACCTGGACGACATCATGGCCTGCGTTGCCCTCCTGAGCAGGTCGAAACCTCCGGCGCCGTGACCGTGACCGTGACCGTGGCCGTGGCCGTGACCGTGAGAACCGGCGGAGTGGCTAGCGGGCGCGGTCTGTCCGGCAGCACTTTCGGCGGGGCCTGACATGTTGCCTCTTGCTCCACGAGTAGCGAGCACTCAAAACGCCAGTTGCCAGGCTGGATGTGATGCGAATATGATATACAGGCCGCCTCGGACCGGGTCGTTGTCGATGGCTGCTATGTTGCTTTTCCTAGAGTACTGCCCGTGCGCGATCACAGTATCGTGTCGCTCGCGGGGCTCTCGTCCCGATCGTCGGTCGCGTCTGTGTTGGGAGATCGGCGCTGTCACGGCCGCTGCAGATGTTGCGGTCGCCGGGTATGTACACGGTATCTGACGTCGTCGCTTCGTGCAGGTGTTTGTGGAGAGTACCGATATGCCCCCGGGCGCGGGAGAGCTAAGTTATAAACGACTTCAGAGAAGGCGGCGGATAGTAATGTGCTGTCTATCAGACTCCGATGGTTGTGGTGGCAGCTAAAAAGGTCGCGGGGTAAGACGGGAGTCTAAAGCGTAGCGGGAGAGGGGCCTTCCATTCTGGGTGGGAGCAGCCCAGCATTAAGAATTCCACTTGCCGGTGCTAGTCGAAGGTGAAGGCACCGACCATGAAACCCGAACCGACGGCAACCTGAACGGGCTGCCCTGTATGAATGGAGGCTTCCACTTGTGCCCAAAAAGCACTGCTGCACACCTAAAGGGCTCCGCCCCGCGCTTCCTGATACAGATATGCTCGCCGTGCGCGCTGTCTCTTCTGTTTCGCCCTTGTCGTAACGAGTGAAAGGCGTTACTCACCCGAAGAGACAGTGCCAGAACTCAAGAAACCCACTCGGGCAGGCTGTCAAGAAGTGGGGCAGAAAATGACCTCCTAGCGGGCGGAGACGGGAGCGACCCTCGTTTTCGGGGTCAAGCCAACGTCGTCCAGTCAAAAGCGCGAGACAGGACGCTATGTATGTAAAAAGGTGAAAGGGCAGGTCCGACCCAACTCCTAGAACTGCTCGCCGAACGAGTCCGGGTGTTGGCCTGGGACCAGAGGCAGCGGGGTTCAAAACTCTCAGTCGACGAAGGCTTGTGACAGCCGCCCAGCAACACCTGTTTCAGTCTGGTACTTGTCCTCTCCTAACTCGTTGCTCAGTCCCGTTTTTCCGCGCTGCGTTTCAATCTATCACCACGGTCTGCAGGCTCCTCTTCCTCCTCTGTCCACGATCTTGCTTCGGTGGTTGGCAACTGAAGCACCGAAGAGGGAAAGATACTCCGTGTGGTCAACTCCGCGCAGGGTTAGGCAATGCGCTTGTGGAGTTTCACCGACCACACATCCACACGCATCACTCCAACCTCAAATTTGGCAGAATCTGCATCTGCTGCGCTGGAGAGGGACGAAGACAACTTGATCGGCCTCCGGGGTCAATGTGGTGAGAGATGCGATGTAGCTGTACATACCTCACGCACGTAGAAGTGCTCTGATAGGTAGAATGGCAAATTCGACACTGCACTGTGTACAAATCATAGGACCTACTTAGTACCAGCATGCAGTGGAAGCCCTGCAAATGGCATAGGATGGACAAAAGGGATTATACACAGTACAGCGTTGATGTTCCTTGGGAGGATAGGAACCAGGATGCAATGATAAAATCAGTGACGGGATCATGAACGTATCAAAGGCGGCCTCAAAACATTCGTTGGTTATTGACAGGGGAAATTAAACATGTTGGCCGCCGGACACGTATAAAAAAAAAAGGATTGTCGATTCTGCCCCCCTTGCATGTCCCAGTTGAAGTTGTAAGGGTTTGAGATACGTACCACAGATCGAGAGGCAAGCTACAAGGGGGCACGTCATAAAGAGGAAGATGGCGGGTTTGAAATTATTCCCTACCGCCGCGTTAGCATCACCGCTTCTATGACCGCTTTGGGGGCTTGAAGACAACGTAACTTCAAGAAATACCGCCTGTCAACCCAACATCATGAGAACCAATGAACAAAGTTCGCAACTCGCCCTCTCTGATTGCAACATAGTTCCACCGCCTCGATTCATATTCGGCACGTTCGGGTGTCTCTGACCCTCGCGGATGACGGCAGATGAGACACAGGTCAAGAGGCATCGCATCCATCACGCGCTGGTCCTGCCACGAGCTCAGTGAAGCATGGACTTTATTTAGGCGCCGTCTAGTCTGTTAACAGCGAAATTCTTATCGACTAGGTAACTTGCGATCTCCCCGAGGAACAACCGTAAAAAAAAACTATAGTACTGTTACCTAGATTCTGGAAAGCGGTGTTGCGTCAAGACGAATGTCAAAAAGGTCGTCAAGGTACTTAACAGTCTCAGCTGTCGCGCTACAATAGGATATGTGAGTGGTTGATAAAGGATGCTATGCGGCATAAGGGTCGTGCCTGCTATTCATGCTTCGCGCATCCAGTTTCTCGGCTATACTCACCGTCCAATAAGTCTAAATGTACTTGGGGGAAGCGCAGAAGTGAAGACATGGCGCTTGTCGGGACAGATCTTGGATCTAGTCTCCAGGGCCTGACCATGTGGACAGATATGCCCTCAAACTCAGCGTGTCTTCCTCCTACCTCTTCAGTGTCGTACTTCCGCGGAGAGAGTTCTCCTATGCTACAAGCATGCTTGCTGAGTTCAGACAAGTCAGCTGTCGGCCGCGTTCAGACTACACCTACCTAGGTACCTGTCAGGGTATCAGGTAATGGACGGATATGTACATGACAGAGAAAGAGAAAAAAAATAGAAAAAAAGATTCAGGCAACACCTCACTCAGTTGATGACACGTAAGTAGGGAAATCTACTTGAAATTCCTTCTCCCCCATTGTCATAAAGCGTCGTACATGCTGCTTGGCCAACTCCGACATGGCATAACCGCAAGCTCTGACGGTCAAACAACAAGTTCCTCTCCAGCGTGGATTCAACAACGCGATGAATTTAAGATCGTTTCTGAGAACTGAAGCCGGATCGAAGCCTCCATCCAACCACTTTGCTAGGTGGCATAGGAGCAGGCACTCCATCGACCCAACCGGCTCCTGCATCGGCCCTTAGAGGTAGGTATAGTGTCATTGTATCATACCTCAAGTTGCATTGCTTATCAAGCCGCCCCTCGCGAGGCAAATAATTATACCTGTATCTACCTCGAGGTAAAACCCCGATCTTGGTCTGATAAAATAGCAGTCAGTTATACTGATTTCATTTGCTCAATTTTTGGGGATTAGTAAACCATCTTCACCATTCGTGATACACGTACTACTTGCCTTGTTTTGCATTTTATAGCTTGCCTCTTGCATCTTCCCATTTAGGATGTTACATAAGACCCTGTAGGGTTGTTAGTATGTAGGCGTGGGTCAGATGAACCACAGAAATAGGATAGATGCATACCTACATACCTAATCCCCTATCATATCTCTCTCTATAAGCCAGTTTGTCACTCGGCTGTCTGTGCAGTTCATTTCTTCCAAGGGTCACCTCCAGGTAATGAGTGGTCAGAAGGAATGATCAGGATTCAAGAAGCGGTTAGCCGCGCATTCGGACAGTGTGCTCCCGCATTGCAATAACAATCACTTGCATGTGATATTTGTGTCCCATGAATTCGGGATGCTAAGACAACTTTATGACTAGAGGTAGGTGTGACCATGTTCGATCTCTCCTCTACCTGGGGGTAGAGATGTTCTAGACCTGAAGTGCAGAAGTTTGTTATACATGTGCTTGCGAAGACATGCGGCTCTTTATGCCTAGATGTACTTGATCCTGGAGAGTGTATATACTACTCTTTAACCTTGATGGATCTGAGTGCCTATGTAACTTCTCCTGCTAGGTGCTTCCAAAACACAAACAGAGTAATCCTTTTCCATCCCTCAGTGCTCCTGTGATACCTAGGTAGGCCTGTATCACCTGAAATCACCACCAAGGCTACCTTTAATCCTGGTCATTAACTCCTTCAGACGCTTCTCTACTGCAGGTGTGTTATGTCCTGGGTATTGCCTATGATGGGGAGGACAAGGCATAAGAGGGTCTCTGAAGTTGGCTGTTGTTGGAAGGGAATCACGTGTTAGAATCTATGCTAGTAGCAATCATCATGGAAACGTGTTCGTGCGTTGGACACCAGAAGAACGACCACTGGCCGTCAACCGGATTTTGACCAGGAGATAGATGTATTTGGGAACAGTGATGGTAGGAAGAGATGGTGGTAGTGGGTTGACTGGTTGGATCATTGCGACTGAAAAAAGAGCAGATTGGACATTTCTACTTACTTGAGCTAAATCTCTGATCACTTAGTCTTATCTTGAGCATATCATAGTCGTCCCTAAACTTTTTGGTATTCCATGTAACTGCAGCGCTGCTGTTACCGTTGCCGATGCTATTGTTGGCGGGAATCGTAGCCGCAGCCGAATCGGGCATCAACTCGTCTGAGTTCATCTTCGAAGCTTATGATTATAAACTAGAAGTTTTTCCAAAGGATAACAAACTCGAGGTCTTGGGTGACTTTACGAAGAATGAGTCTTATGGAGAGGGCTTGATGAAAATGGTCGTTGCGGAGAATGTCCATTGTATCTGTTAAAGGTCGAGGTCGTTGCAGGAAGGTATTTACAAGGATAAGGCAAGTGGGGATAAACCTGTGACAGAAGAGAGGAAGGAACAAACAAAGGCCACCAACCCCATCAAACTTGCTCTGCGGTAACTGTCAACTTTGCATGCTGCAGGGAAAAATACGATTCGACACATAGCGTCTATCGCAGTTTGTTATTGTATGTTGAGATAGAAAAGCGTTTGACCACAGACTTCAAGAATTGAGCACTATGGTCACCAAGTCAATATCTAGATGTTAATCTGGGAATGTGGCATCTCCAGCTTGTCAACGACGTGAGGTCAAGGTGTTGAGGTCCGTGCACAAGTGCTGGTGATCTTAGTCTGAAAGCCCCACTTTCTGGTACCCTGTTCAAGCTGCCTGTGGTGGGTGCAATTGCTGCATTGAGCAGCGAACTGCGCAAGCACCGACCACATCCCTGAAGCTGTTTTAACTTGTCTTTGTTCCCGAACAAAACTTTATCCATCAACTCGATTACGGGTGTTGCTGGTTTTGACATTCAATCCATTGCTGTTCATATATTCTTACATGGATCATCAATCTCGACCCTGAGGTACACAGCCTTTGCACATTATCCACCTACTTCATACTACTCGGTACAGCGCCTCCCACGATGGGGAAGAACGACAGTGTCCCTGACGCCTGGGATGATGATTGGGAATCTTTGGCGGATCGTGCGGCTAAAGAAGCACCATCGCCTGAACCAGAGAAGGAAGTTAAAATGACGAAAGCAGAAAGATTAGCTATGCACGTCGAGGCACAGCGAAAGCTATGGGAAGCAGCGTAGGACACCCCTCCATTGATATTCCGTCTCCCTACGGACAACGGGCCTTGTTAACTCGCTGCTCAGGGAATCGGAAAAGGAGATCAATTTTCTCGCGGCAACCAGCTCGGTGCCTTTGACTACACCTTTCAAGCCAGCCATGAAGGTTCTCAGCCGCAGACCGGTAATCGCAAAAAGAGATCCGGTAACTGGACTAGAGCGGTCAACTCAACAGGACGACGAAGACGAAGACGAGAGTAAGAACAAGAAGCAAGAGACACCAGAAGAAATTCGGATGCGCCAACAACGAGAACTGGAGGAGAAGCAACGGCGATACGATGAGGCACGGGCGAAGATCTTTGGAGAATCCAGTCCTTCCTCTGGATTGTCAACACCTGGAAGCGTTACGCCGCCAAAAGAAACCGACAGGACCGACAGGGCCCGCAGCGACAGACCGAACCACAGACGGGGAAGAGGACGTGGAGGTATGCATCGTACCGACAGCCGGCCGGAAAGCCAGACTCGCCGCCTACCGCTCAACCCGCAATCAACTCCCAGAGAGCTGTTCGACCCAAACTATTCGACGAAGCCAGGCTCAACCAGCCAGAGGCGGTCGGCAGAGGACTCTCCGAACGTGAGCAAATCAAATTCTCGACGGGATGAAGATCAAGCTATTCGGGCACCGAGAGGTCCAGACAGCAGTGGAAGAGGAGGATTTGGATTCGCTCGCCGTGGAGGCTAAGCTGGATGACCTCTATTATTCATATTGACGATCCCCCGATAGGTCTCTGACTGGTGTGCGGCGCTCTACCATCCTCCGCCAATCTTCCCCGCAAGCTGGACGACTCTCTCAGTATCAGTCATCTTCTTCTCCTTGCCGACGTCACTGACAACCTCCCGATAGCTTGTGTACGCCAATCTTTCCAGTTGTATCCCCGTCAATGTTGACCAGTGGGTCAAGACATTTCGGATATGCGAAGGGGAAATGCCATCAACAACCAGATCCAAACTCTCATCCTGGGCTCTTGAGCCTGACTCGTCTCCCGAGAAGTACGCTTCATCGACTTCTTTCTGCCACTCCTTCTGCTCCTGGGGTCCTGGTTTTACAGCGAGACCCTTCCGATCAACTACCACTTGGTCATCTACCTTGATCTGGCCACCTCCATTGGTACAGCCGCCTGGGCAAGCCATTACCTCAACATAGCCATAGTCCAAACCGCTGGCTTTGCCTGCCGGTCTCTTGGCGCTACCAAATGGCTTTCCGCCAGGCATTCGGGATGCTTTTGCGGGTTTCAGCTTGCGGACCAAGTTCTGAATATTTCGGAAACCATAATACCGCGCTGCCTTGAACATAACCTCGCCCGCTTCCGCGGTCAACTTGTATTCAACAACGTCGGCGTTCCTCCCTGGTACTGTCTGTATCTGTGAGCCCGGATTCTTCGCTTGCAAGTGGCGAAGGATGAAGTGCATGTTACCGCCGGATGTGCCAGCTTCACGTGACTGTTGACGGTGACCGGGTCGAAATAGGAAGTCGTGTATTAATTGGTCTGGAAATCGGGGGGTTTGGGGCGGCATCGAGGCCGACAGACTGAAAAAGTCATAGCCTCTGGATGCGGCAAGCATGAGGACCTCCTTGCTTGTGATAACACAGTCGACGTCCCGTACTCCTCTGCCCGGCTTGCCATCCCCAGCCCAGACAGCATCTGTCAACTCTTCACGACTAGCCTCGAGCTTCTTGTCGAAACATGGCATCACAGCCAAATGCCATATCCTCTCGGGTGCGATATCAAGGATTCGACTGAGGGATGTTTTCAAAAGGGTGCCCATGAGGGCCTGGGGTGATTTTACTCGAGAAAGATGCGGTAGTACGTAGGGGTGTGTCTTTTCCGCATAGCATACCCAACCAGGGCACGAAGCAGTGAGAACTGGTGTAGCAGCTTTGTCAGACGGCGCTATCAAGCCTCCAAGGACTTCGTCAGACCCAAGGACAAGAGTTGCCTCCCGCGCCGTGTTTGTGTCCACCACCCACGTGAACTTGTTCCCCCATTTTCCACCTCTTGCTAGACCCTGTTCACCCAAGAAAAGCTGTTCGATCATCCGGTCAGCTTGCTGCTCTGTAACACCGTTGCCGCATGCTGCAGCCAAACTGGCTCTGCTCTGAGGAGAGACACTGGCAACGTATAGCTTCGCGTCGCTGTTTTCCAGGCCTTCGACCGAGTACTTTCCGTTCGCATCAGGTCCTACCAGCTTCAAAGCCGGGGCGGAGTCCAGCATGTTGAGAACCTCATTGTGACTTTGTAGACTGACTAGTACCGCCTCGGCGGACGTTACGCAGCCAGAGCAGGCGAGACAGTCGGTAAGCAAGATTTCAGCCGGCGGAGCATTGCTCTTGGCTTCTGGTTGCTGGCCGTCAAGTATAACCTCCACTTCGAGGGAGGAGTTGACGTCGCCTGCGGACGGCGCGGCGGTCGGCAAAGTCTCGATGGGCTTGATGCAGGCTACGCCCGGGCTGATGAAGTCGTTAAGGTCGTCAACGGAGAGAATCGCGGACATGATTATTCATGGATTATCAGGCTAAGCGCCTGATGATCGTAGGCGCGAAGGTCAACGGTTGGGTTTTGATAGGATCGGTGGATATCGTCGAGAAATATCGTTCGTGTTGGCAGTGATTCGAAAGTCAAGTGTGCTGGGTTGCTAAGTCGTGCTCTTACAAATCGATGCAGTTGCAAGTGCCCCACTGAACCCAGAAACCCACGGACGCTTTGCTAGAGGTTTCTCTCTTTCTGTCTGTCTTTGTTTTTACTGTCAAGGACTGCGATCGTCTAAAGAGATGAGCAGGAATCAGATCCGTTCAAGTCTATGCTATAGTTTGTTTCTTTCCGAAGAAGTTTTGCTGCAGATGGCGACAGTCAGAAGCTGCTGCGGTTACTGCTTTGAAATTGACATTTCCTCGAGGCTTGATTGGACTGTGCAGGGGGGTTAATGCGACATCGGCTTTTGCTCAGTGGCGGTTTTAGTTTCTGTCGCTACATTACACCTCTGCATGGATATAACTTGTTAGCTTGGTACGTTGGCGCTACAAGAAACAGGGACCAGATAGCAGCCAAGTGGGCTGTTTCTTGTGGGAAGATTAAGGTTCTTTGCCACCACCAAAAACCACGCTAACAAGTTAAATCCATGCAGAGGTGTACTTGCAGTGTCCACTGTCCCGTGCGACGCTTCGGAGTTCCGCCGGACACCTTCCCCACTCCCCCCCGTTGGAAAGCCGACATGTAATCGACTCCAGTCACTCGTCTTTGATGCCTGCATCACAATTTCACGAAGAAATGTTGAATCGGAAAACTGATCAAAGCAGTAAGTTCGGCGCGCCCAAAAGAGGTCGGGCTATTCGGACAAATTTTAGATCAGGCTGTGGTTAAGTGAATACAATGGTTGGACGGAAAGCTGGGAATAGTACCTGGAAAGTATCTGATACACTACTTGGGGGGGTTTTGCATGGGAAGGTACAATTCAATACTGGTTTGTTTGTTAGTTTGGTTCTTCGGCCATGGCTTAAACAGGGGAGATTTGAAGCTCTTATTAGCCTTCAGAGAGAGAGAAGCTGGCCTCCGTTTGAAGCGTCATGGGACAATAGCCAGATTTGAGAACGTCACATAAACCTTCTTGAGCCTCTCTCCGTTTTCTTCCAAGGCTTTCATAAACCCAAATGATAGAAGATAGCAATCCCCTATGGCTTAGGTTGGTTGTCTTCGGCATAAGCATTTCCGCTAGATCTGCCAGATCTTAGCCGCGCAGGGATCGTCCGGCAGGCGCAAGGTTACTTATCAGCAATCGCAGTCGTTATCGATGACGTAGTACCCTCAATTGATGATCGGCTACCGCACGCAGTGACAGGTACCTACCTTTCACGTTTTCCATGGTGTGGTGCTAGCCGTTCGTGCCTGGGTTACTGGAGCTCCAATTCGTCATTGGGGACGGTAATATTTACTTTATAAGAACCAACGTGACGGTGTCTGCTTGTGAAACTTCTTTCCTTTTGCGTAGCCGTATCTTGCCTCAGGACAACGATTCTCCCTTCCATAACAGCAGCAAACTGATTTATTCAACTCTCACTTGGACCGAGATCCTTAGACATCCACATTCATCATCACTCAATACCGAATCTCTTCATCAGCAACCATGGGAAACGATGTAAGTGAAGGGAAAACCTCCAGTGATCCCAACATTCCCGTGGTATGTTCTGACCGTCTCTACTTGTAGTCCATTTCAACATACGCGTTTGCGAGTCTGGGCTGGCTCTCCCTCCAAGCAGTGCCGCTCATCGTTTGGCCGACCTTCATCAGCTCGATGCTCACAGAGAACGGCGGACATGCTCATGCTCCTGCCGTGGTAAACGTCGTAGAGACATACTTTGCCCGATACCTCGGTTTCTCCCAATTGACCATCGGCCTCCTCATCGTCACCCTATCCGGTGCTCTACCACTCACCACCAACGTGACCTGTAAGTTTCCACCTACCTACTACCTTTCACTCATTCTGGGCCCTGAAAACACACACTGACACCTGCATTCTTTACAGCCCCAAACGACCCCAACTCCCCCTACGCCAACGCTGTCGTCTTCATCTCGATGTTCTACCACACCATCGGCGCCGCCTACGGCTACAGCCGCTACACCAGCAGCGGCGGCCACGTCGGCTACCTGCTCGGCTTCACCGGCAGTGCCATCATGTCCGCATACGCCCTCTGGCTCTTTATGTTTGCTGGCGAGCAAGGCAAGGTCAATGCTACGACTGGTGCCGACAAGAGGACGAGCAACTTCCCCTTCAAGAACGCTGAAGCTGAGAAGAGGTTTGATGGTGATAAGAAGAGGGTCACTCGTAAGGAGATCTAGGCGCTGAATTTGTGCTCTAAGTCCTGCCGCGTGTGAGTGTGGGAAAGGGGTTATGTCTTTCTTTTTGTTTGAAAGGAAAACGGTTCCTTACCTAGTAGTCAATTTGTATTCCCGGAGTTTGGTGAGATTTCAGGGACTACTTTTTTTGGTTTGAGTTGTATTCACCAACCTTTGACTGTGTACTTTATGTCGTTTTGATCACTTGGCGCAGCATTGCGGTTATATAACACGTCAAGGGTTTTGGTTCAATAACTACCAAAACATGTGCTGTGCAGAGTCCTGGCTGATGTTCACATTCATTCCTCGTCACTCCACGCTCAAGATGCCAGTATACTGCTGTGCTTGAGATGTCCACACGTTATTTCCAGCGAGGAACAAACGTTGGCTACGAGCAGATGCATCCTGCTTCACCAGCGACAAGCAGGCACATGGATTGATACTGTAAAAAGCTGTCGAACCTATAATACCCTTTTACCCACAAGTAATCCATAACCCATAACCATGCTCAATTGTATTCCCGTTACTCCATACACCCCAGATTATTAAATAATGCTCGTCATGGTTTCTCGAACAAAAACGAAAGAAGTGGATGGATAAAAGCCAAGCAGCCGCTGTAGGATTGCACACTCATCGGCGGAGTGTAACAAGGCGTCAAGCAATGCCTTGTTATTCCTTTTTGAAGGCCAGGTCACGGCTTATGCGAGTGTAACAAGGCCTTCCAAAACCCTTGACGCATAAGGGTAACAGACGGTGTGGTTTGAAGCATTTGCCCGGTACGGCGCCTAAGCCCTAGCAGCACCGAATCGGCATCTATTCCTCCACAGTGAGTCTGGCGGCCTCGGCTGTATCGTCCTCACCAACTGTCCCGTTTGCCACAGCTTTTTCCGGTAGCTGAACGTCCGCCATACCTTTTAACACGGCTTGACGGCGTGCGTGCCAGGCCTGTTCGCTGCGTACGACCTGATCGAGCAGGATTTCCTTTTCAAGCCACTCCTGCTTGTACAGCTCTTCCCAGAGTTTGCAGTCCTTGCGCAGCTTCTCGCCTTCCGCTTCTACCAACTTGACTTGTAGTCGACACAGCTTCATCAACCTGTCGAGCGGCATGTCGAGTTCCTTGGTAGTGAAACCGTGCTCTTCGGTCAAAGGCGTAAAATCAGCCCCGTCGTCTCCGCCGCTAGCATCGTCAACTGAGTCGTCTTGTCCGGCCGCATGAGAATCCGGCCTTCGGATTATGATCTTCACTTTGGCTGACTTTCCAGCCGGACCGCCCCCTGCTTGCATACTCTTGGGCACCGGGTCAGAAGGTCGTAGAGCTTCGGTCTCGTGGACTGTCCGCATATGTTTGGCTAGGGCATCGGAACGTGTAAAAGCGCGGTCGCATTCTGGTACGTCACGTAAGTATTAGAAGGCCATCCATCTTCCAACTGCCAAAGGAGGGCGGCTTACCTGGCAAATAACAGTAAAATGGCTTTTCCCTAGTGTGAGATCGCATGTGCGCCTTGAGCGCATAGCCGCTGGCATGCGGTAAGCTCTTCCTACTACACCCAATCCATTCGCACGTGTACTTCTTCTGTCGACCTTCGATGTGCGAGTTGTGAATGTGTTCAACGAGCCTATCCATATTTCCCAGATCCCCAACTTTGCAGCCTTCCCAAGCACAGACAGTGACTTGTTCCTGGAAGTCATCTTCGTCTTGTCGCGCATTAATTGGCGAACTCGGGATGTCGCCATCGGTATCGGAGGAGACATCGGACATGCCGTCTGGAAAGTCTGGGTCTGCCTCGGGCTCCTGGATAACAGCCGATGAGGCTGTCGACCCGGTGGTAACTTTGATACGCTTTGTTGGGGGCTCCTCTGGTTCGTCGACGGCTTCTGGCACCTCGTCCGCGAAAATCTCTTCCTCGTCGGACGACGCCATTGATGACAGCGGCGAGTCATCCGCAGGAGAGTGTTCTCTAGTCATTGTAGCTGAATGATTCGTGTATAGAAGATTGGGTTGTTCTGTTTCTCAATGTGTACGCCCGTTCAAACAAGGCGGAAATGTTCAAGAAGGAGAGATGTGGTGATAATGCGCCGTAGTTGCGGACGACAGTTGGCGATGGTGGTGAATGGCGTCGCGCCACGAGTTGATGTCGGATATCGTTTCGTAACGGGGTCCGTGTAAAATTGTTACCGTGTGGCCCTGATCTGCTCTGGGTTTTGTTTAAGGTAGGATGTTCGAAGTTCGAGTGAAGAGTCGAGCGGGAGGGATTTGAGGTGAACTGTTGAATCGAAGAAGCAGCTGTGTCTACTGTGTATGTAGGTAAGAATTCGGACCTTCCTCATTTTCCCCAGGTTTGTCGACGCGGAGCTGCCCCGTCCACGGCTGGGTAATGGGTCCCCCCGTGCGCCTGCTGGTGCCGTCGGCCGCATCTTTCAGAAGGGCGATGTCGCGCCAGGGTGACCGTTATCAGCAAAGTGGAAGCGCAACCTGCGACAGCTGGCGGCCGCCTGAGCTGGCTGGCTTGGAGGTCAGGCCCCATCCCTGCCTGGGCTCCCACCGAGCCCCAGATTTTCGTCCGTTTCAGTGTGGTGTATGGGGGCAATCGCCTCCCTGCCTCCCTCTGTTTCATGATCTCTCTGGGGCTTCATGACCAGCTCATCTCAAGCAAGTGCGTCATCCCATTCGCTAGTTGCCTGACTGATGCCCCCACTACAGCATAAGACGCCTAGTGTACAGGCGCGAGAAGCGCCTAGACCCGGCCGCTGTGGCAGTTTTTGTCAACCCCTCCCCCGCTAGAACTCGGGGCTGTTTGAGCGCACTTGCATATCTATCCTGCACTCGTCCACCGCGTCAACGCGATTTCCATCTCCCTCCCGCTTCCACCGTCTTCGCGTCTGCTTTGTGCTACTCGAGTTCTTCCCGAAACTAAGCCCGCTTTTTCTTATACACATCTTACACAATGACCGTCTCTACCAAGGTCTTCTCCCTCGAGGGGAAAGGTCTGAAGCTCGACACCGCCGAGGACCTCGAGGCCCATATTGCCCCCCTCCGGGCCATGGACGATGTCGAGGAAGTCCGCCTTTTGGGAAACACTTTGGGCGTCGGCGCTTGCAAGTTGCTTGGTGAGGTTCTCGCCACCAAGAAGACTCTTCGTGTATGTCTAGCTGTTCTCAAGTGCATATATGGGCCTCGGCGCATTACGAAGAAGGGACGGCGGCTAACCACCTGTTGCCTTTTAGGTTGCCAACTTTGCCGATATTTTCACCGGCCGTCTGCTCAACGAGATCCCCGAGGCCCTTTCCTCGCTCCTCACCTCCATCCTTAACCTCCCCAAGCTGAACACGATAAACCTCAACGACAATGCATTCGGCCTCAACACCCAGGCGCCCCTTGTTGCCTTCCTCGCCGCACACGTCCCTCTCCAGCACCTGTATCTGAACAACAACGGCCTGGGTCCCCATGCCGGTATTTTGATTGCCGACGCTCTGTCCGAACTCCACGCCAAGAAGGAAGAAGCGCGCAAGCAGGGACAGGATGTTCCCTACCTCGAGACCGTCATTTGTGGCCGTAACCGTCTGGAGAACGGCAGTATGACCGCGTGGGCTAAGACTTTCAGACTCCATAACAAGGTTAAGCAGATTAAGATGGTCCAAAACGGTATTCGGCAAGAGGGTATATCCCATCTGCTGAGCGAGGGTCTTAACCACGCTTCTCAGCTCCAGATTCTCGATCTCCAGGACAACACCTTCACCCTCAAGGGCGCTAAGGCTCTTGCGAAGGTGACCCCCGGCTGGACTGAGCTCATCGAACTTGGCATCGGTGACTCTCTCCTTTCTGCCAAGGGCGGTATCCTTTTGTCGGAGGCGCTTCTGAAGGGAAAGAACAAGAAGCTCGAGATCCTGCGCCTCCAGTACAATGAGATTACCGCCCGTGGCATTAAGGGTCTGGCTCTGGCCGCTGAGGAGGCTCTTCCTGCCTTGAAGAAGATCGAACTCAACGGCAACAAGTTCACCGAGGACGATGAGGCCATTATCGCTTTGCAAGATCTTCTCGAGGAGCGCAAGGAGCGGTTTGGTGGCGATGTTGTCGCCGAGGACGAGTGGGGTCTTGACAGCCTGAGCGACCTTGAGGAGGAAGATGAGGAGGAAGAAGAAGAAGAGGAGGAGGAGGAGGAGGAAGTCGAAGAGAGGGCAGAGAAGCTCATCAAGGAAGCCGAGGCGGCTCAGGAAGAGCCAGTTGTTCAGGTCAAGGACAAGGAGGTTGATGAGCTTGCTCAGAAACTGGCTAAGACCGAACTCTAAGCATGTCTTTAACGTGCTTGGACAATTCAACTCAACTGGAACAGTGCGCAACGAAGAACTCTCTTTTCTTCATGGAGACGAATACAGACGATACCCAAGATAAGCGACGACGGGAGTTTGGGGATATGATTATAGATTAGATATTGTCCTGTATCGTGTTGGATGCCCTTTCATTGCGCCGTCATCATGTTTTGGCACGTCCTTGTCTGTAAATTTCAGGGGTTTGACACAGCGACTGGGCCGCTCAACTGTAAATCACCTACCCTTTGGATGAGGTGGTGTAAACATTACATGTTTGTAACGACTGCATTGACACGGCTTTATTCCTTACGATAACTGGCAAGAAATGGCCTTGGCTTGATTCCTGGGATTTATGGTGGCTCAGCGGTTTTCTGTTTGGTCATGTCACTTTCCAATGACCTGTCGGAATGGGCAGCTCAGCGTGTCACGCCATAAAAGTCACCCCATCACCTGGCCCCTGAGGGGGCTTGTTCCTGTCGCCAGATTGAGTATTGATGTCGCCTCGGTGTAGGTTTGGGTCACAATGGATATATAGATGCTCTACAGGCCGATGGTGTGGGAAAAAAAAAGTCATCCATAACAAGTGGAAGTTTACATCGACTGCTGTTTGACTGGCGTCTATTTTGCCTCATCATCACCTACACACATACGCAAACACATACACACCATTGACAGGGGTGACACACCAGTCCTCATCATATACAAGAACAGTCACTTTGCCAAATCACCGCCCATATCACACGATAAGCCATAGAAATATACAGACAGCAATGGAAGGCTCCTGGCCATTATTCGAAACCACCGACTCCATCATCGAAGTCCTCTGGGACATCGCCCTCGCTGTTTTCGTTATCCGCGTCTCCTTCTACTATTTCCTCCTCACCTTCCTCACCAGCCTACTCCTCGGCTACATTGCCTATGCTGAACTCATACCCATCACCACCTTCGCTCACTTTCTCTCCTCCTCTGGCCCCGACCACAACAACCGCATTCTCTGCTTGACCATCCTCCTAACCATCACCTCAGCAATATGGGCTCACCTTGTCCTCCGCCACTATGAGGTACCCCGCGTCGCCTATTTAAGGTTAGCCATCTGCTCCATGGCGCTGGCATTCATGGTCTCGGCTGAGATGGTGGTGGCTTTTGTGCTGTATGAGGAAGGGTATGGAGGGTGGATGTGGGAGGAGATGAAGAGCGTGGCAGGCATGGCTTGGGGAGGTTGGATGGTGATGTACGCAGTGATGCCAGTGTTGCTCATGAGGGCGGAGAAGAGGATGGAGGAGAAGATGGATGATAGAACAGGAGGGCTGCGGCTGCGGCTTGGGTATTATGGAGGTAAGACGGTACTGCATAAGTTGTAAGTGGTTACTCTCTCTGATGTTCCTTTGGGTACTGGTTGGTTCGGTTCTTTGCAAATGGTACCTCTAAGGATTGAGGCTGATGAGTATGTGCCTATCTCTACAGACCGACTATCAACGAGGAGAAGGCGGTGATGTAGTGGGCCACACCATTGGCAAGTAGAGGCTGGGAGGTGTTGGCACGGAGTCTACAAGTATTGGAGGTTGGGTGGTTGATGAACTTTATGAATATTGAGAATCGTTGGAATGATTGGGAAGCGATGAAGCTATTTCCTCGTCAACAAAAGGGTCATTATGCAATCCTGTAGTGGGCTGGGGATAGGTTACGTCGTGTAGACGAGAATTTAACCCCTAACAGAGTAGTGTCTCTCACATTCAATTGCCGCGCACCTGGAGGGAGCGTTGGGCATGACGTGGAGGGAGCGTTGGGCATGACGTGGAGGGATATTCAGAGCTATCGCCCTGTTCCACCAAATGCTAATGTCGCTGGAATGTTGCACTTTAGGTATGCATGATAGCACCGTGTATTACATATGTGAGTTTTAAATCGGTATCAGGAATTCATAAGGAGGGTTTAAGATCAGGGCACTTTCACCAAGATAGCCTTTTTTTCCTCTTCGATGACTTTGACAGGTATGGACGGTACTACAGACCTCTAATATTCCGTTTCCTGGCGAAACGTTGAACCATCCTCAAGGGATACACCACTTATAATCACGTCGACTCGTCTGTTTCTTTATTGTGCGCGGTCCTCCGCTTCCTTGACATTTACTGTAGTAAATAGTGTCATGCTCTGAAGGTGATGAGATGGGACACTGAAGGATCAGCCACTTCTGCCACTTCCGACACCGTCTTGAAAGCATTCTCGCCAGCCCGAAGAATCTTAAGCATGGACATGAGACAAGGGCTGGAAGCACCCGAGTCCACATTCCAATGCCTCGCGGTTGTGTCTTATTTGGCGACGTGATGTATCGCGAAGTCAAGGACATTCATCAAGATTTCTCAATATACTTGACTGTTGGAAATCAGGTTGAGTTGAGCTATAAAACTCCCAGGTAGGAAGCATTGTTGATGTGCCCAATGTCGACTTGTGCTACTGTTTGGGGAGATCTTTTCACGGTTCAATAGAAATCATGTTGTCTTCTTTCATAACCTGCGTCATCCCTCTGCTGGTGATATCAACGCCAGCAGCAGCTGCGACTAGCCAGTTCCAGATTCAATCTGCTGGGAACACGACAGTGTCTTCATATCGCAATGCCGTTTACTTTACGAACTGGTAGGTTATCAACGATCAGAAACTTCAGGACGGGCATACTAACTAACCATCACAGGGGTATCTACGGTGCCAACTTCCAGCCTCAACAGCTTCCTGCTTCACAAATAACCCACGTGCTATATTCTTTCGCAGATATCAAACCAGACGGGCAGGTGTAGGTCTCACAGTCCTGACGATATAGACTTTGAAAGGGCACTGACACCTAGCAGAGTATCTTCGGACACTTACGCAGACCTTGAGAAACATTATCCTGGCGACTCGTGGAGTGAACCGGGCGAGAATGTCTACGGCTGCGTCAAGCAAATGTACCTTCTGAAGAAGAGGAACAGGAATATGAAAGTCCTCCTTTCCATAGGAGGATGGACGTAATCACCCAAGTTCCCACCAGTCGCCGCCACTGAGGAAGGACGACGAAGGTTTGCTTCTTCCGCCGTGAAGCTTGTACAAGGTGAGTGAGCTCCAGAGAACTTCTATCCCGAGGATGAGAAGAAAAAATCTAATCCAGCCCTTCAGATTGGGGCTTCGATGGCCTCGATATCGATTGGGAATATCCGACAAATGCACGCGAGGCACAAGACTTTGTCCTCCTTCTCCGGGCCTGCCGACAAGCCCTTGATGACTATGCCCGGCAATACGCCCCTGGCTATCACTTCCTCATCACCATCGCCGCACCCGCCGGACCTCAGCACTACGGCGTCATGGACCTTCCCGGCATGAACCCGTACATTGACTCCTGGCATCTGATGGCGTACGACTACACCGGCTCGTGGGATTCCACCACGGGCCACCAGGCCAACCTCCTCCCCAGTCCCAAGAATCTTCTCACAACCAGATTTAACACCGATCAAGCCGTCCGCGACTTCGTCCGCCGCGGCATCCCAGCCAACAAGATTGTTCTCGGCCTGCCACTATACGGCCGCTCGTTCGAAGACACTGACGGACTGGGTAAGCCGTACAGTGGCATCGGCGCCGGCACGTTGGAGCCAGGGACCTGGGTTTACAGAGACCTTCCACGCCCCGGAGCGAAGGAGGAGTACGACAATCTGGCCAAGGCCACTTATAGCTACGACGCATCGTCGCGCGAGCTCATTACGTATGACAATGTCCTGAGCGCTCTGGTGAAGACGAAGTACATCTTCCTTAGGGGACTGGGTGGTGCGGTGTTCTGGGAGGCAAGCGGTGACAAGGCTGGTGCGAAGAGCTTGATTGGAACGTTGGCGACTCAGATGAAGAGGCTGGATCAGACGAAGAATCTGTTGGCGTATCCCGCTAGTAGGTATGCTAATATTCGGGCTGGTGTGCCAGAATCCTGAGGATGTTGTGATGTGGAAGGCTTGGTTGAGACCTGGATCGTGTCGAGCTATGCGCTTGGTTGTTTCATTTGAATGTATTGCTGGGTATCACTTGCTCTTGATTCAACTTGAATTCGAAATGTTCTTTACTCAGCCGAATCTGCAGAGTGTTGGAAGATATCTATTCTCTTGGGTTCTGTTATATAAGCTCTGAGAAATACCGGATTTCCATTAAGGCATACGCCTGCTAGGTCACTTGTCTTGGATTTTCTTGATATGTGTTCGAAGTTGCCCCTAAAAAAAGGGCACGATTCCCTGATATTGCTGTTGGACAAGGAGAACACTTGTGAGCTGGCAAGCAGGTGGCGACTTGGAATTCGAAAGCTTGTCTAGATTTTGGGAAACTTTGCGATTGTGAGCTTCAAAACCTTGAGCGGAAACAATGACAAAAAAGAAACTTGGATGTTTCACACTTTTTCTTTCCGATCGTATGACAGTACGACTATAGTGGGTGCTGTAGCATGCTACCCCTTCGCCTCGCTAACATCTATGTCCGTGCTCAGCTAGGTAACAGTCTGGTTTCACCATGAACAGGCTGTTATTACTCTACGTCTCAGAGATTTGGATCTTTACCTTGCCACCAGTGATCCAAGACCTTCACGGAGGCACAAGACTCCCAGAATAGTAGAAACGACTATGCCAAGACGGAAGGTTCAAGGCGTGCGCAGAAGCGGGAGGCTTTCCTCCCGGTTCTGGATGGCCGTCAACAACCCCTTGCTCGTCCCAACTTCTCTACCTTGCCACATGAGGTACCAGGATGTTTGGATCCAGATCTCACCTGTATCTGACTATCCAAGTTGTTTCTTGTGCTCCCCCTACGCTACGCTGGTGCTCGAGCTATCCTGAGACAGTGACCCCTCTCCGGTGCTTCTACTTTCATGGCAAGCCATGTGCATTCTGGAAGGATAGTGCCGGTGATATACGTCGTGGAACAGGCCTAGATTCGTATATCCATCTTCTTTTCTGTCCGACTTGTTGTGGTTATGCGCTCTCTTTCTTATATCCCCCAACTTTGACACTTCAATCCATGCTCTAGTGTCTAATTTCTTTTGTTCAGTCGTCTCTTTCTCTTTCTCACCCGAGTGCTTGCACTCCGTTCTTCGTTACTACCTGACAGTTTGCTTTGCCGTTCGTTTCATTATACCCATTTGATTCTCTTGGAACTTCCCGTTTGGATCAAGTTCGCGTCCCGATCACGAGTTGACACGAAGGACAAGTCATAATGCAGTACTCGGCCAGAAACCTTGCGGCCTGTCTCCTGGCCATCTGTATTCACGACACGCTCGCCACGCAACCAGCTATTCCAGTTCAAGACTCCAGTGTGAACAGCGAAACGACTGTTCCCATTGCGACATCTGCTCTCGGTGCCAGTGTTGCTCCCGGCACCACAATCCCGGCAGAGGTTGTGGCCAGCAGCCAGGAAAGCATTCAGTCTTTGACATCCATCGCTACCCCCGCTGCCTCAGAGGCTTCCGCAGGCGAATTGCGACCTCTTTCAGGCCTTGCTTCGTCGGTATGTTGGACCTGATGCCCGTTCAAGAGAGAATCGCAACTGACTTCTTATAGGCGGTGGATGGGGCAGCTACTCTGGCTAGCACAACCAGTGAGCTTATCCCTCTTGTCTCACAGATTTCAACGACTGCCGAAATCTCTGAGGTGTCTCCGGTTCAGTCCACTGAAGTGACTTCAGCTGCTATATCAACCGCTGAGTTGTCGAGCCTTGAAGCCTCAAGCACTGCCGTTGCCGAGGACCCAGCTTCCACAAACTCTGTTGCACTCGAGACAACAACCGAGAACTCAGCTTTCCCAAGCTCTGTTGCACTCGAGACAACAACGACTAAGGCATTTGCGACCGAGACAGCCGGAACCGAAACAGCTGGTGCGGACACGACATCGACCACAGCCAGCAACGGATTCCTCACCTCAGTTATTACCGAGTCTTCAGCCAGTGCTAGTTCCGCCACCGCAGATACCTCCAGAGCTGCGATAACCTCCCGCCCACCCGGCTTCTTCCCCATCACAAACAGCACTACTCCAGCAGCCAGCGTAGTCGGCGGAGGGAAGCCACACGGAACTGGTGCTGCCCATCAATCGCTGGTCACCGGAATTTCGAAAAGTCCTTCTAGTTCTGGCGGTGTTCATTTCGGCAATTCGACACAGACTTCTGGGTTATCAACTGCAGCTCCAGCCAGCAGAGGCGGTTCAGGTAGTAGCCTCACTACTCTGACCACCGTCTCGGATGGCATGACTCAGACGCTGGTGACAGCTATAACATCACAAACGTCAGGAGTTGCTCAGAATGCGTCGACTACCGCGACTACTCGATCAAATTCAGGAGCCGGGCGGCCCATAGATTTGATGGGTGGTGCTGCTTTGATCGCTGGTGCGGGGAGCGTGCTGGGGATGCTGTTGCTTTGAGCAGGCGATCAGCGTAATCTCAGGTAGCGTTATGATTTAGTAGCAAATGTAAAAGAAACATTGTCAATCTTTGGATGCTAAGTTTTGAGAAAAGCGCGGCATGTTACATAGAGTACTGACACGCAAAGGCGTAATGTCAGGGTTTGAACTGCTAGAAGTGCAAGTGCCCGGATGCAAGTTGTTTACCACTAGAACCAGATTGAGAGGTTCAGAGGTTGCCCCTTTCCTCCTTCCACAGCCGGAGGCGAACGGGCGATGTTCTGGTGAGTTTAGTCTAGGGTTAGGGTTAGATCAACCACCCTTCGCAATTCCCGAGGCCGGTCATTCTGCCGTCTTGGTCCGCCCAACTTGCAAGCTCTCGATAGCTCGCAGGGCAACGGAACAGAAGTTACCCCTCCCTCATGGTGCCACAAACGCGATAGTACTTACCAGACTTGCGCGTTAGCCCAGCTTTCCTGTCGCTGGAAGACTATCACCAAAGCGCAAGTGCTGCGGTTAGGATCAACATTGGAACCCAGCAACAATGGGCTGGTTTGATGGGTGGTTCGGAAGCAGCTCCAGCAGCGACGAGTCAGATCCCCTGGGGAAGCTCGATCCCAAGCTCCGCGAGTTCCTTGCCCGGGAGTCCCCCGTCAAGTACACGACTCAGCAAGAACAGGAACAGCAACAGCAACAGTCACAAGCTAAACAGCATCTCGCCAGCGCTCCAGCGGCGCCTGTACCGACAGCGAAAGTACCAGCGACCGAACAACCACAACAGGAACAACAACAACAACAACAACCAGCTGTACCACGCGCCTCCCTCTACCAAGATGGCCGCTACGCGCACCTATGGAAAACCTACCGGCCGCAGTACGAGATTGAGGCCGAGACCAAGACGGACCACGAGAAGCTAATGGACGTGCTGGAAGGGTTCAAGGAGCGCAAGGCGATGATCGGCAAAGCGGCGCTGGAGAACTGCGCCGAGGAACAGCTGGACTGGAACAACTGTATGAAGCACGGCAGCTGGGCGGATCGCGCGACCATGTGCCGGGATACGGTGAGGAAGTTTGAGAGGTGCTATAATATGCAATCGGTATGTTATGCGTTATTACTGCCCTGTGTTCCCTGGGCGCGAGCTGTTCGGAGCAGGCAGTTTTGTCTCTTATTGTTTCGTCGATTAGTTACTGACCAAGTTAATAATGTTGAAGAAACTACTAAAAGCCCTAGGCTACCTCCAAACCTACGGCCGCTCGCCCGAAGTGGACGAGGACATCCAAATGCACGCCGACGCTTTGTACCATCGGATGCTCGACCAAGAAGCGGAGATCGAGAAGTGCAAAGCTGAGGGCCGGCCAATTCCTGCGTTCCCCTCGCTGTTCGAAAACAGCACCTACAAAGTCCCCGTCTACCCGACTAAAACATCGGCTGCCCCTCAGTCCACATCAGCAGCTGGTGCAGGTACAGAGCCAGGGAAGGACCCCTACGAACCAAGCCAGGCCATCGTGGAATCCTGGCAGGAGCAATTGGCCAAACTTCCGGAGCCGGAGCGCGCTGCGGAAGAGGAGGCGCTCAGAGCTGAGCACAGGGCCAAGGCGATTATGGCGAAGAATCTCCAGGAGTTGTGGAACGAGCAATCCAAGGAGAGAGAGCAACGCAGAATGGAGGGTAAGGAGACGATTGGAGATAAGATCAAGCGGGTTCTTGGAACACCGAACTATTGAAATGAGTGTTTGACAATCCCGTCAGGTTGAAGGGGGATGTATTACAAGCAACAGATTCCGGACATAACAGTACGACTTAGCCACCTAGATGTGGATATATTTCAGATTCACAAAATAACATGGTCAAATTCATGAAGAGTGTTGCTGCGGATACTTGGGCCAGCTAAGGCATCGGTCAGTGTCATAGTCCAACAGAAGGTACTTGGACATTGACATAAAGATATATCAACACCAAGTTCGAATCGTTGCACAACTGGCATCCCGAGCAAGACGCTTTTGTCCAGTGGTGTCGAGATGCTATTGAATTGATGTACCCAATTACCTGCCCTCTAAAACACTTGCCGCTCGCTCCAAAAAAGCATTGAAATCCTTGATCTGCTTTAATGTCCCACCGCCGTTACCCTTGTTACACACCTCACCCGATACCCTGCTGATGAGGAACTCCAAGTTCGCCAGGTCTGCCATCTTCTGCTCAGCCGGGAACAGTTCGGGAGCTGCTTGACCTCTTTCCACCGCAAGGTCTATGTCATGCATGGCAGAGGAGAGCGATATGTGTCGCTAGTAGCAAGAAAGAAGAGAAGGTTAGCAAGCAAACCCCATTAGGGAAAGGAGAGAAAAAGTGGATCGGGGCAAGAACTGACCAAAGCCTCCTTACTATCCACCTCATGCTTAATCCGAATAGCGTCCATCCTCAACGAAACTTGATCTCTCTCGGCGCGTATCCTCAATATCTCCTCTCTCAATCCCAGCTTCTCCTTCTGCACCACCCTTACCCGTTTGCGCAGGGCGTGGAGCGTATCGAGGGCGATAGTGCGTTCCAGTAGCCTAGTCCTCAGCTCCTCCTGAAACGCCTCCATGGTGCGAAACTTGGTCTTTTGTTCCCTCTTTGTTGCTGCGTCATCTGCAGCTCGGGCTCGTTCCTCCAGCCTGGCTAAAAACCCTGCAATGAGACCCTCGCATAGTTCGGAGAGGACGTCTATGGCGTTGACGCCGGCTCTGTTCGCAAATGGAATCTCGGCGTCAAGAACACTGGCATTTAGTTCGTCAGCATCGTCGCTGGCTCTGGGCGGCTTTGTGAAGCGCTGGACGGTAATCGGAACGGCTTCTGCTTTCTCCCCCTTTCCTTGGTCCTCTGCATCATCCTTCTTGGATGTTTTTCTGCTCTGCTTCGCCTTCGGGGTCTTCTGAGTCGTACGTCTGCGGCCTGCGGGTGCCGTTTGTTGCTTTGGTTGCTTCTGCTGTTCCTGAGGAGGGCTCGATACCGGAGTAGGCGCGCGCTCAAGCCTTTCTCCTCGTGCTTTGGATGGCTTCTGTTGGGCCGTATCCGCTGGCTCGATTTGTCTGCGGCGTCGCTTAAGCAGAGGCTCCTCCTCAGGTGGTCTTGCCTCTGACTGTGAGGAGGGCGCAGGGACAGCTCGTCTAGGACGTTTCCGGCCGAGAAGTTGAGCAGCTTCCTTGTCGCTAATTTCCTGGGCCTTTTCGGTGTCGTCTTCCTGGCCCCTGTTCTTCCCCTTTCCTCTGCTAGGACGCTCGCTTTCGACGCCGTCATTGGTACGCTCAGCACTGCGCGTGTCGCGTTGTCTGTCTCCTGCCTCTAACCCTGGATCTCTGTCCCTCTCAGTTCCGCCCTGCTGCGCTGCTTTCGACGGCGAGGGCTCTTCGCCCAAGTCTTGGCTCGCCACACTTTCAGGCGGACTACTACCCGAGAGTCTTGAGCTCCTCCGCGTTTCGGCCGACACCCTCCTTACAGCGAACAAATCCCCACTCTTCCGTGATGCCGCGCGCTCGAGTGGAGAAGATTGCTCTGGCTCTTGTTCGGTCCCATCGTCCAACTCCTTTAGAACCTGCTGGAGTAATGCGCTGGATCCAATCACTGCGCTTCCAGGTTCATCAACCCGTAATGGTCGACGCCTTCCGCTTCCGGGAGCATCGGCCGGACTCTCGTCTACCTCTTCCGTCAGAGCAGTCGGCGAGACATAGCGAGGCCGGTGATGTGCCTTGGTTGCACTGCTTATTGGTTGTGGTGGGAGTTGCTCGGGCGATTTCAAGTGCTGATGCGACTGTGACTGAGCTGGGCTAGGATGTTTATCGACTATCGGCGATGTCACATCTTCTGTTCCATGGTCCGTCCGCGTAGGAGAAGTGCGTCGTAAGCCAGAGGAGCGTTCCCGAGTTGATCGCTCGCTGATGACGGTATGTGAATCTTTGTCATTGTGGGCAGAAAAGTCGTTCGTGTCGGGAGAGCGCGACTGCGCAGACGCAGCTGAAGGACTCGTAGCTCGAGGGTGCGGCGGCTGGGGCTGTGTATGTATCGCAGCTATCGACGTTGCTGATGGGGGGCTCCTACGACTCCTTTTAACAGACGTATTGGGCGTTGGACGTGTCAACACCTGCCCAGCTATAGGCTGTGTCTCTACTGTAGGAGCTGGAGCAAGAGCCGTGTCTGGCGATTTGGTTGGCGAAGACGCTTCATCGTGACCTGTGGGTTCCTCGGACGAGGGTTCCTCTACGGGTAGAGGGATCTCGAAATTGAAAGAGATATCGGCAACCTGATGAGAACTGTTTGGATGTCATTAAAAATCGGGAAAAGTCTCATGACAGAGATGACGCAGAAAGACAAGATATCGTCAACAACTTACTGCGCCCCGCGCATGCGCTCCTGCATGCGCTCCTGCCGACCTTGGCTCAGGTCAGTCTAAAACCAACTGAAAGCATTCTGGACTGAGAGGCTTACTGGTTGCCATGGCTTCGAGAAAGGGGTCAATCCTTAGCTGGAGCGGATCACATTCTTAGGTAGGCGTGGCAGCTGTCTTTTATACCGCCGACAGACTGGAGTGGCACGGGTGTGATGTTAGTGAAGAGAGGTAGTCGCAGGAGTTCAATTGACGACATTGGAACGCGCTGGATCAATTGACAGACGCGATAATACTGGGGTCGCACGGCTTGGCGGCAGTGGATGCGTTGGCAGGCTGCTCGCTGCTTCCCGTCCTTGCCTTGTGGTGTCCCCTGGGGGCATCCCCCCGCAACCGCCGAGCTTCCAGAGGTTGGGTTCCGCCTGCACTACTTATCCTTGCGGTGGAGTGGCTGTTGCCAAGCACTTGACCCTTGAAGGCCCCAGGTCCCTAGTTCAGCCTCACAGTCACAGCAAAACCACAACCGAAACATCAACAACAACATCACCAGCCGGCATCGAATGATAGCGATCTTATCAACGGTTACTTCTCATTTATACAATATAAGTTCTTCTTCACCTCTTCATGTGGCAGACCAAGCATCTATTTTGTACATGGGTCTCCCTGTATCTTGTTGCTGATCTAATCTCGTCCTCCTTCCGAGGCTACGAACCCGCTTCAGTTCACCTCATCATCATCTATAGGGTATCAATTTTTGCTCTTCCGCCCGCAATTCACTGTGTAGTCAACTTCGGCACCCATTCCATCTTTACCTCGTCAAATATGTGGCTGTAGAGCTATTAGCTTGCATAGTTCTCTTCGACCGGATGGTGTGTACATACTTGGCAAAGTCTTTCAAGGTAAGTGACCAGTCACCATACTCTTTTGCGAGCAAATCTTTATAGCGGTACGGGATCTTGGCTGCAACTCCCTCGAAGATGGTGTCCCGCAAGGGGAAGATGTATGTATCCTACCTACTGTTAGTCACCGCCGCTACTCTTCACTGATGTGGAGATAGTTACCCGAAACTCATGGCCATCTTTGCAGCTCATCATGCCCTCGCCTGCCGGGTGTGTCAGGTTGTACCGGGCAGCTGTAATGTCGATAAATAATCCGGACTCGGTATCGATCCACCTGGCGTCGATGACATTCATCCAGTCCGACTGGTCTCCGTTGGAGAAGTTAGGGTTAACCTCCAACATGTAGTTCCGGCCGGCCGGTAACCTCGGTGTCTTATAATGAAAGACGGACATGTTGTAATAGGTTGCTAGGAAGTACATGCTGGCCTCGGTGACTTGTACGTCGGCATCCGAGTCCCACGGCATGATCTGGGTGCATGTCAGTTCTAGCAACCGTCACGGGCGAAAAGGGTCAGCTATACCTGCTTGTTCCACCACCATCCCAGCAGGCTACCGTGCATGAGCCAGGTCTCAATGCCTAGGTCTCTCATTGTCTCAAGGAATGTCCGGACAAGATTTTTCAATGCTGCCTTTTGTTCCTGGTAGCCGAGCGCTTTCTCGGCAAACCTGCGCCGTCGTGTCAGTATCGCGAATATAATGCGACTGCCAGATCAACAGGAGGTGCGTCATACCGGCCATCATAGTGTGGGTCGAAGCTACGCGGTGACTATACGTTAACAAACGAGCTCTGCTGTTTATCTGTTGACAAGTGGTGTTTCTCTTACGTTGACTCGTCTGTTTGTTGGTCAGCGTTCTGTTCTCAGCATGATCCAACCGCGAGTTACGGCATAGGGTCTGATACCGGGCAGTCCCAGAGACAAGCTCATTGAGAACTTTGGACACCTTGGCGGTGGTGCCTTCTTGCTGTTGTGGGTTCACCTACGGAAATATTTCTGAGGAGGATCTCCAGCCTTCCCGCTCATGTCCTTCTGGTCGGTCATGCCCATTATCGTAATGGCATCTTCGTGCTCTATAGGCGCACATGTGCTGAGGGAAAAAAGCGTCGTGACAATGAGGAGCCAATTTAGGAGCATTTTGGCCTGCCCTTGAGGATCAAGACAAGAGACAAAGGATATAACAGGAAAGATAAAAGGGAAAACGAGGAGAAGGAATGGAGAAATAAGAGGTTGAAATCGGAAAGGTGATACAGAGATTATCTATGCTGTTATTACACTTAGGGCAAGGAATGTCAAGGAGTGTTACGGCTGTGATATCCGTGCCTCTGGTGGCATGGCTTGGGTACCTAAGGGATTGGGTCGGCGGGTAGGTACACCCACGGCTCATAGGTTTCTTATATCTGATTGCATTTACTTGTCAAAAAGGTTCGGTATCATCGGTGTTTCCCCGATGTACATGTCTACCTCTACTCATGACATGGCCCCACACATTGGGGAGCCAAGACAGCGAGATTCAAATACTGGTGACGCGTCCCATGCTCGGGTATGTAAGAAGTAGCGACCGGGGCTCATCGGGTCAGGAGACAAGAGACCAGATTCGTCTGGCAGAGACCAGAAGACGAAAGAGGGGGGGATAAAGCGCGGAGGAAGTATGGACGATGCTTCTGAGGTGGGCTAGGTAGTCACCTGGGTTGTATCCGTCATGTCAAACGGGGTGTGAAAGAGCCGCAAACTTGTAAGGATTTCAAGTGAAAACAATACTTCTACCTTCCATTCGAGGCAAGCAAGATCGGGAAATGAGAACTGCCAGGTACAACAGCCCACAGACCGGGAAGCAGGGACGCACCGTCTTGAGCTGGGTATCCCAGCTCAGCTCTTTCCTAGGGTCCCAAACTTCTGGAACTTAACGAGAGAGCACACGACATCACGACGGCTAGTAGGTAAAGGTACCTCTAGGCTAGACCGATACGGGCCATACTTTCCGATTGTATTTCACCCAAATTTACCCTGTGTCCGAAGGAGAGGCATATGCATGATCGGAATTCCGTGACTTTAGAAGTCTGCCTACTTGTGCTTTCCTGCTGGTGTCCTAGGTCCGACGAAAGGTCAGAGTCATCAAGCTCTTTACCCCAGATCTGCCAAAAAAAAAAAAAAAAAAGGTTTGATATCGTCAATCAATGGAGCTTAGGAATGACGCCAGCTTGGTTGAATCCTCTGTCCGGCACAGTCGAGTCTCTGTCGTACGTGGCCCATGGCGGTAGGTACGTACAATATGTAGACGAGATCGAAACTTCATCACACTTGCCGTATATCGATTACTCAGGACTGAACTAGTGCTCCTTCACCTTAGTGTTTGGTGCCTCTGCAAGCGAGCATCGGGGAACATGGACGGCACTTCTCGATGACCACATGCGCACAGGTAAGATGCGCCAAAGTTGAAGAGAGGTCGCGCCAGCGATCAGCGACGTCTGGATCCGAACAAGAAGTTGTTTTCTCAGAATATCGGTTCACAATCTGCAGAACCTTTCAGTAGATGACTTTGTCGCTGAGAAGAGACAAAGAGTGCTGATATCTACGCGCGGAGTTGAAAGATGACTTGGGAAAAGCGTCGGGCTTCAGCATGCGGGCTGGCCGCTGTGTGCTTGTGGAAGCTTGTTGTTCCCGAGGGCCGACGACCCATGTAGCTTACGTGTACACCCACCCTCCGATGAATGGTAACGGCCCGTCTTCTGGGGAATGCGCGGCCCAGGCGGATCATCATTTCCATTCAAAAGGGGCAGGCAGTCACTTGCTATTCTTTCAGAGAGATGGAGCAAGGAGTGTTGTTCGTCTTATTTTATGTCGCTTTCTTCTCTTTCCATTCCACTTTTCTTGATTCATGTGGTCCTTGGGAATCGGCCTTGGGGTTGTCGTCACGTCAACGTATCGGGAGCGGGGAGAAACAAACCCAATCATAGTCGCGCGAAATACACTGGTGTATCATCTCATAACGCCCGAGAGACCATCTTGATACGTCCGTCTTCTATGGTCTCAGAAAAGACAACAAAGTCTATCAAAGATCGGGTGTCGAATTTGAGTTCCTTAACTTGAAAGTCTGTGGCAAACAGGGCAAAAAACGAGAGCAAGGGAAGGTAATTGGGACCGCCAGATTTCCATCTTTGTACTTTCGATTCCATCGTGTAGGAGTTTGCACTTCGGGGATCTGGTGCACAAACCATTAAGCACCTTCTAGCTACTAAAGAGCGCCTACAAACGATACTATAAAGAGTGGGCATTTAGAGCCCTGCTAATTGGGTACAAAATTCTCTCCTACCAATTTGGGCCCCTATAGGTAGAGGTATAAATCCTACCTAGCCAATGTCTTTGCACTTTGCAGTTTGAAGATTTCATATGGGAAAACAATTTCGGCCGCTCGTTCTTCTGCACTTTTGGGGGGTTGCACTTTTAGGGTTGATCCTGTATACATCTATGCCTAGAGGTACTATTTTAGGGGTTTCCATTGCATAGACCGCATACCTCTAGTTCATCTGGGATCGGATTTTAGGTGCTTTGGGACAGGAAAACTGGATAGCGAGACTTCGCAGTAACAGACAGGAAGCCACCGCGAGCCTGTCAACGTGAAGTCAAGGAAGTGGAAGGGGAGCAGAAACAATGATTGTAAGATGCCCTGGTCACTAGGGAAGATTCCCGTCGTGCTTCGTCAAGTTATCTCCAACAGTGCAGGGATGTCAAGAGCTGCCTTCCCCTCAACGACCCCGAAACCGAAACCAAACAAACGAACGTCAACAAATCGAGAGCTAAGAGGTCTTACCGTTACGTACCTCTCTGCATTTGCTGTGCCTTTTAGCTCAGCTGTGCATACCTACTCCTGCTACCTACCTATGCCTGGTTCGAGTTCCAGCCGCCCGAGCTTCAATTTCCTACTCTTTCATGATTTCTTCTCTGGCCGCTCTTGGCAAAACAACTTCCCGCAATCGTCGTCGCCGCAACCAGTCGACAACACAAGCAAACAGAGCAAACCCCGCAACACCCCCAGGCCCGAGCACCTCTACGGCTTGCTCCACCGAGTCCACCTCCACTCGGGTATAAGTGCAGTACGTGATACGTCACTTTTCCGGCGAACGTTCGGATCAGCTTGAACAATCTTACGTTCGACCTTCTTCCTCCTTCAACCCCCAAGAAAACACCTATCTGCTAGAAGCTTGACACGAAACCACTCCAGCGCGAGTAGAGCGCCCGTCGCACAAGATGGGATTTTTAGATATACACGGAATCAGCGTAAGTATTAGAACAGAGCCAGACCCGGCACCAGCATCACCACAGCGGCGCGAAGCGCTCCATATCCCCAATCACCTCGAAGCCGCATAGATCACCGGAAGCTGACATCGTACTGGTAGATTTTCAGATGGGCGGCTGACCTATCTCATCTTATTTCAAAATGCATCCTCCTATACTCCATCCATCGCAATAGGAGCGCTGAAGGTTATACCCCTCTATTTTTATTGACGCAACTACATCCCTCCAACTAACACTGGCCCGTAGGCGTGTCTCTCATCACACAAGTGTTCTATACGCTTGTTTTCATCACGCGCTACACAGACCTTTTCGGCGAAAATTGGTGGGGGGGATTTTTAGACTGGTGGAATTTCCTTTTCAAGATCTTCTACCTCTCTTCGTCATTCTACACCATTGCGGCCATGCAGTTCTTCTTTCCACGGACCCGCGAGCGAGAGAAGGCCTGGAAGTTCGGCGCCATCATACTGGGGGCGAGCTTGCTCCTGTCACCTTTCGTGATGATGATCGGTAAGCCCAAGGAGGATTGGGGTTTTCGAGAGGTAAGTACACCATGCCGCTACGTCTCGCCCTTCCTCCCTTCCATCCTACAGGTTACTTACTAGTCTCTTTCCCCTTCTCAGTGGCTTTGGGTATTCTCCCAAATCCTCGAATCCGTCTGCGTACTTCCTCAACTCCTCCTCCTCCGCCAGACCACCGTTCCGACCGTCATCACTTCGTTATACATCGTGTTCCTGGGCTCCTACCGCGCCCTCTACATTTTGAACTGGATCGTCCGTGCGCTCGACATCAATGGCCGGAAGCCTGATGGTATCTCCATTGTCTTTGGCCTCATCCAGACAGCCCTATACGCCGACTTCGCCTGGGTCTACTGGACACGCCAGCGTGTCAAGCTGCGGAACGGCGGCGTTGTCGACTCCGATGACCTGCAGCGCGGATGGCTTCTCACTCACATCTTCGGCAACAAGCGTATGACTGGGGAGCACAGCGCGGATGACGACGAGGAGAGCGCCCCTGCTCTAGGAGGACGACGCGGGGTCAACGGTATTGGCATTAGCAACGGAAACAGCCGTGGTTCGGCGCCGAGATCCAAGTGGGGCGCTCGTGGTATCTCAGTTAGCGCCGATGACGGTGTGCTTGATCATGAGCAGTCGCTGGAGGATCATGGAGTGACGGAGGTCCTGGATCCGGACGCTAAGATGCACGATCCGGATGACTTGGCGAGAGCCCTGGATGACGATGACGATGGATCGCCATCGCGGGCAGGAGGTTCGGTGCCTTTACTCGGTAACTCGAGCGACAACAAGAACAACAACGACGACAGGAGGGATCATGATAATGCTTGGGCTGATGACTGACTATAGGGTGCTAGGAGGCATGGAATACGGAATGACTGACGTTAGGTGTTACTATTACGAATGGTTAACGGGTTGATGGATCGCTTTTTTTTGGGTATGGACTAGGCATTACCAGTATTTGGTCATATGGACGCCCAACTCTTTTTTTTTCTCCTTCTTCCTTTGTCGGAGGCAAAGGTTATCATTAGGGAGTGACGGCCAGGAAGAAGCCGGTGGTTTCAACATCACAAAGGAACCAGTTTCGCAATATCACCAGGTGAACAAGAACAAGTTGGGGGGTATATCCACAAAGACAGAGGACTGATATGGCTGTGTTTTACATCAACTTTGCAATGTACAGGTCAATCTTGTTAGGACTGTCGAAAGCATTCTTGATGTGTTACTGCAGTCTAAATAAGGTATGAAAAATAAGGGCTTGTTAGAATAAAGTTATTCAAGTTAGGACCTATGTGCAATACTTCTCTCTAGAAGACCACCACTCTACTCACCCTGTACAGAAAGCTCCCACAACGCTCTCAATACCGCCAACCCTCCGCTTTGTGTTTCCACCGTCCTGCCCCTACCGCGAGTATTCGGATCACCATCATCCACCACTTTCCGGCTACACTCCTCAGCCACGTTAAGACCCGTCTTTTTCGACCCTTTACTTAACTGGCAGCTTCCAGTCAACGGACGCTGCACCTTACTGTCCCGATCTTTATAAACCACCGTTGGACCTCCTGGCCCTCCGCCTCCGCCTCCAGGCAGCAATTTTCCTGCCGGAACCCACTCAGAAGTCTGCGGGACCCCTTGGTTCCGATAATCAGTCACTCGCTCCATAGGAGCCAACGAATTTCGCCCAAAACGGAGCTCAGATGTCTTAACGTTCAGCAAACCAGCTGTCCACCACATACCAAACTTGCCTTGGCTGTCCCTGGTGCGCGCTGCCGCATGCGCGTTGTGCTTCAGCCAGCCGGAATACCGTAGGCAAGCTGCTGAGTGCTCTTTTGCTATGCTTTTCCAGAGGTCAGGACCGGGAGGTGGTGCTGTAGTTGTCTTTGTTGTGTGGTGTAGTTGTGGTTGTGGTTGGGTGATGGGTGAACAAAACGCAGTAAAATGGTGCATCCAAATCCCCTTGAAAGTCTGCGCATCCTGCGAGCACTCGCCCTTCGCATCGCAGACCTCTTCAAGGATACCCGCCCGGCCCAAGCCGCGCCAGGGCGGGAGCTCGCCTGGCTTAAGCTTATCGAGGTCATCAACTGGAGAGTCCCGCGCCAGGTCCCAGCCGGTCGCTCGGATGACGTTTTGGATGAGCGTGTGGCCTGCCTTCAGGTAGGATGGATCGGGATCAACGCTGAAGAGGTTCCGCTGCCCGGTGAGAAGGACGCCTTGGTTGTAGGTGTACAACATCTCGTCGCGCTCGTCGCACTTGGTATTGTTGCTGCCGGAGGAGTAGCCGGAGATGTGGAAGCCGTCGGCGTATAGGCCGAGTTCGTTAGTCATATTGGAGGAAAGCAACCAGCTGTAGGCGTCCTGCGCAGCGGCGAGGTACTTGGGATCGTGTGGGTACCATTTCTTGTCTGTTGAATGATTGGGAGGAGACCTGGGCTGCTGGCTGTGCTCAGAAGAGATGAAAGGTGAGTTGTTCTCGTCCCCAGGGAAATGGAGGTACATCATCACCGATGCGGCGATGAATAACTCATTGGTGATGGCGTTTTTATACGGCAGCAATCGAGGGTTCCAGTTCATCCCTCCGCCGCAGAGTGTCGTATCCCAGCCGGCGGCTGCCAGCTCCCAAAATATCCTCGCTCGGTGAGCAAACGCCGGAGTCCACAAAGTCCCGTGCCAGGTACGATTCCGTAACGTTTCTGTTGGAAACTCAACACCATTGCCGTCACCAAAGTCTGACAGCGGCCGGCTGGATGTACCGCTATACCCATCAACAAACTTGGTGGTATCGAGCCAGCCCAATACAACCCAGAGCATGTCATCAAAAGCTTCCTGGCGGAGTGCAAAGATGTTCTGGCCGAAGTAAAAGCCGATCAACTGGGAGAAGTAAAGAGAGATTGTGTTCTCCGTTGCTGACCACCCCTCTAAGATTTCGATCCCCCTAGACGCCGCTATCTCGAGGCTCCGATGTAGAGTTTCAAGGGTACCGGCAATGTGTGTCCCCAAAACAGCAGCGGTCCAGTCGATAGCAGAGGGCCATGTGCCAACCCATGGCTGGAAATAGACTTCTTGCATGACATCGATAGCGTTCATCATCTCATTGAATAACGTCACGTTGAAGACGTAGTCTCGTCCTTTGACGATAACCGGATCATCTTTCCCCAGGTGACGAGGTAGGAATGAGAAGGACTGTTCGGCAGCGGAGGCAGCCGTGACTAAGAAAGCCACTTTGGCCCATTGGATTAACATGTTGTCGACCAAGCAGTAAAATGATGCGGTTCAAATATTGTCCAGATCGGCGGGCACCAAGTGGCCGTAAACAGATATAGTCGTTCCCAGGGTCAAGAGACTGCGAGGATTCAACTCCAGAAATCCCTCGGGACAGCAGTTCAGTTTTTATACACTTTCGGGTTCGTCAGATGCGAAAGAAGCAAACAAGCGAGTCAAGCGCCTACAACAGTCAGTTGTACACTAGTTGCTCGATCCGCCAAGATTGCTGGTATTCCCTCATCGTGAACTAGGTAGAGCTCATGATCCACGAAGATCCGCGATGATCCACGAAGATCCACGAGACAGATGTGGATGATATGTGTCTCGGAATTATTCAATGCAACGAGAAGTGGGAGGGTGGTAACGGTTGAGGATGAGCTTGGTCAGGACTTTGGAAGTGAGACTCCCGGCAATGGGGCACGAGAATGACAAAGACCTAAAGGCCCTCGGCGAAGACTTCAAGTAAAAGTTGGAAGTAGCTATCGGACTGGACCCAACTTCAACGACGACGAGGGGGGAGAGTGTGGATGCGATCCAAACCAGCCAACCCTCGAGTGGGTGGGCAAGAGTAGAGCACAACCTGAACAACCAACAGTCATGGGCATTCATCCCTCAGTTCAGGCTGTCTGTATGCCAAGGTCAGCTTGCCCGGTCGACACACCAACAAGAGGCTGCCAGGTGTGGCTGTCGTCGAATCAGTAGTCATCTTGTTCCAGTTCCCTTGAAGCTGAGCGAGGTGAGCCAGGATGTAGGTACCCTTGCACCAATGGGTGGGCGGCTGTCCCTGGCAGCTGGCAGTGTTCCTGAAACCGGCAACGGGTGCCTGTCCGGCAACGGGCGGGTTCTTTCTCTCGCGGAGGGCGGAGCACCTCGCCGAGGGGCAAGGGAGCTGCCTGCCGGGGCGATTTTGCCCACTTGCACCCCCGTGCTCCCCACGATGCCCTGTCTGTGCCCAGTTCGAGGCCCCTTCGACTTATTCCAATCCGAACCCCAGCATGTGTCTCGAACCTCAGACACATGTCTGTTCATTCCGCTATATATATTCGGTATTGGCATCGATGGATTGAGCACGGATCAAGTGCTCCATCTTCCAGGTAAATTGTAGCGGACGACCTTGAGTCTGAAGCTCGGTAAATTTGCTTATAGGCTGAATATACGAGGTAGAGGCAGAAGATGGCTGAAGTTGCAGTTCTAATACCCACAAGAGCGTAGCTAGAAGACATACATCCGATGACCAGGTATCTCTATCATTCTCATACAGAAAAGGCGGTACATTTGGACCTTTTGAAGCGTACGGAAAGGCGCTCAACTCAGATACGCATCTCCATAAGCTGCTTGTTTACCGATGTCGGAAGCTTAATGACTAATTCCTATACGACTGTCCAAGACAATTCAAATTATCCTTACGGGATGTTGAAGCCGAGAGGCAAGTAGGAAACTGACGCTGTCGTAAATGAGGTTCAAGAAGCTGTCATTGGAGATTTTATTCAAGGGAGATGAAGTCCCGATTTTGATGACGCTTTTTTGAGCAGCAATTATTTTTCGTGAATAACATGAAGAGACCATCCACATGTTCGCAACACTTAACCGCCTGCATGTCGCTTCTTCGCTGATATGGTATACAAAACAAATGTTCCACCCGTTCTCCCAAAAACGCCTGCTTGAAAGCCAAAAGACTCTCAATAAATCACCCAAACCCGATGCCAAAACGCCATCTAACAAGCCCCAAGTAACCCCCTTGTCATCAAGTCAGCCGATTATCGTTTCCCGATACGATATCGGGGTTCCAAACGTCATGGTCAAAGCCCGTTCTACTCAACGAAATGGCGCTCAAATTCGCTGATGAGCTTTGGTGTGATCTCGTCGCTGCTCATGCCCTCGACCTCCCAGAGGACGCCCTGGCGCGCATAATGTTCCAGGAGAGGCTCGGCTGTTTCCTGGAACTTCTTGTACCTTGCAAGATAAACCTTCTCGTCGTCATCCGCCCTGCGGACCAAGGGCTCGCCGGTAACGTCATCGATACCGGGGACCTTGGGTGCGTTGAATGTGGTGTTGTAAACCCGGCCTGACGGTTCGTGGACCCAGCGTCCGGAGATGCGCTCAAGGATAACTTCGACGGGCGTCTTAAGGGAAACGACCAGGTTGATGGGAACGATCTCATCCAGACGCTTAGCCTGGGTTGCCGTGCGCGGGAAACCGTCCAGCAGAAAAGAATGAGCGGGGTCATTGGAAAGCTGAGACTGCATGAAACCACGAGCTTGCGCTGGCGAGGAGAGGAACGCTGCAACTTCAGCATCGTCTTGGAAAGAATGTGCCCCCTCGGCGCTGAGGGCCGAGGAAGCAAGCGTCAGGACGTTGCCGGCAGGGTGAGTCGAATTAAGCCATCCGCGCTGGGTGAGCTCGTTGCTAATGAGGCGGAGGATAATGTCATCTGATACCAAACCGCCGGACTTCATGACACTCTCCACTTTGATACCTGCGCGTGATAATCAGCATTGGATTCAGGACAGAAATGAGGGCGTAGGGCGTACGATAGATGATCGCGGAACCCAATACTCACCGAGAGGAGTCCGTTGCTGGACATTGTATCGAAGCAGATCTCCCGAACTGATGGAGGACAGTTGAGGAAACCGCCGGAGAAGGCGTTCCGACTGTGTTCCCTTTCCGACACCAGGCGCGCCGACGAGGATGACGCGGGCAGCTCGCCGTAGGGCCATTTTCCGGTAGGTTGCGGCTCGTAAAGGTGGATTGAGCGAGCGATGGAAAATAATGCGTGCAGAAGAGAAGACGGGAGGAGCTGGCAAAGAGAACACGAAAAACCCCCGGGCAGCAGATAAAAAGAGGTTCCGCGGTGGTACTTGTGGTCCCAATGTCAGGTTGATGCGAGCGCGGATGCGGGGAACGGGCGATGATCGGTGGCATGCAATTGCGTACGCAGGCGCTCACAAATCAAGCTGACTCCATAATCCAGTCACTGGAGTTGGAGCAGGGCCTGGATGGAGCAATATGGATTTTAAATCTGCAAGTGTGAACCCGGGGCCTTGCACTAACAATGAGCCCAAAAGAGGGAAAGCGTGAAAGCGAAACCGTGGGGATTTGAGATCGGTAGCGGGTCGGACCTCAACTCTTACAAAACGCCATGAAAAGCTTCTCACGTACAAATGTAGAAACCAGAAAACCTGATTGACCTTCGAAGCAAAAGGTTGTATATATGGCTTCGGACATCCACAGAATCCTCGACAATGGTACCACATGCCGTCATTGTAGCCCAAAAATGAATAAATTAAAAAACCAAAGTCCTCGTGGAAGTAACAGCTGCCCCTGTCATGCCAAGTTCTTTTGACCAGTATTTCGCCCCTCAACAAAAATCATGGGCGTTGAGATTCACCCAGCGACACCCATATGCTATCTATTGTGTGGGTGTACCAAGCAATCATCAAAACGCAAAAGAATGAGACAAGAAGAAAAACATGGTGCGCAACTCTGTTTCACGCTGTCCTGCTTACATTGTAGGTATTCACAGCCAGCGTGTTTGTAATCTCCGTGAGACGGACATCCTCGATTTCAGTTGATCTCATTGCTGGTCGGTACTACCCCAAAACCAAGAGCGATCGGCCGAGGTAACGGGTCAGCCTGAGAAAACCGAGAGCTGTCAGAAGCATATGAATTGTGATTGAACCGATAGTATGGAAACTCGTTTGTGCACCGTCTCTTCTCTCATTCACACACCCAGAACTTGGGCAGAATTCTTCATCTTCTCGGCTTTCCAGGATACTGCAAGAAAACTTCGACTGTACATACTATGCAGTAGGTGTGAGCTAGCCAATGCTGGCCTTTGAGCAACACCAGCCGTAAGAAAGTGAAGTGGGTGTTGCTCTCACTAACGTCAAGCATGACCTATGTAGTATGTACTTGGCACATCACAGATAATTCCGCTCCAGAGAGAAAATGGACAAAAAAATGGGTTGACTGACCATTGACAAAATTGGAAGCTTCAGAGCTTCCAGAAGTTTGCCAGTCCCAGCGGTAGTCCAACGTCCACATCGTTTCAGTCGCCTTGGCACCACCATATCCCCGATAGGAACAGCAGTGTAAAGAAAGCCCCGCGCCCCCGACTCCCCAATTCTACCGTTGTCTTCTCCATGTCTACCAAGTCATGCACGGCACGCGACAAAGTGAGTACCGTTATCACCAATGAGCATATCACGTTGAGAACGTGGAGCAGAATCGTTGATGGAGCTGTTTCGCTGGTGAGAGCGTGGCAAGTTCGAGAGCCAGTCCATTCTCCAGTTCGTCAGTGGTTCGCTGCTGGCTGCAAAAGCACGAAATGCGTTGGCCCCTTTTGGGCTGCTTCACAAGGGGTCGGATTGTGGGGAGAAACGCCCGTGCGAGTTTAGTGCATTACTCGAAATCACGTGATGACAGACAGAATGCGGAACTTGTAATCAGACTGTGATGTTTTAGCTAGATGACTGTGTGGGGCTGAGATTTAAGTCCTTTATTAGCGGAGTACCTGCAGTAATCATCCTACTTGCTGGAACTAGCGTCTATGATCCAACACAAAAAGGGATAACATACTGAGAGCCCAGTTTCAGGGTGTGAGCTCAATTGAAGGCTCTGATACCTCCTGCATCATGGCACTCATCCGATCTTGCAACTGAAGAGTTCCCTAGGATCATGATACATGTACTGCTCGTTGGCCAATGTTCCCTTGTCATACTGAGATTCGGGGTCTGATGCCAAGCTCGAGGTTCCAGAGCTGGGGAAATACCATGCACAGTGAAAATGCTGAAGACGCCACACCGTCACTCAGGAGAAGAGCACAGTTCGTTTACCCAGCTCGGCCACACCGCGCGCGTACCGCCTTCGTGTTGGCTTGACCGCCCACCGGTGGGTTGCGGGTGAGCGGCCGAGACAGCCATGGACAGCGCAATGCAGGCGCGAAAAAGGCTGGAATTTGATGTCACCGAATCCATCAATATCGATCGCTCCAGGTCTTTCTCTTTGCTGACAGACAAACCCGGTCCCGCCCCTTTTGCATTCTGCTCGATCTCTCCATCCCCTTTACAACATCTCAATTAGTTTGACTCTTGTCTATTCTACACCACCAGAAGACCATCGACACTCCTTTTCTCGACGTGATTCCGCCTTTTATCCGAACTCTTCCAGCACCTGTACATCCCGCCCTTCGCAACTGTCAAGGGGGCGAATTATTTACTCCGCCGTTATCGCATTCGCATATCGCTTCGTCCAGCAAACCCGTCTGCCATACTCTTTCACTCCAGCAGCATCTCTCATTTGGCATTGTGAACAACAATCGTTCGAAAACCCGCAGCACGCCGCTTCTCAGAAATGAGCGCCTCATCTACAGTCGCCCGTAGGGCCTTGGTCGTGAACCCATTTCTGGGTGCCGGTAAGACTTTGCCCGACTACGCGCTTTTTGCGCCGTTGTCATTGGACGCCTGCTAATCTGAACCGCATTCACCAGGCGTTGCTCTACCGAGGCAAGGTCTTCTAGCCGCGTCGACGCTTCTTGCGCGCAATTCGCGGCACATCATGCTTAACAACCAGACTTCTGCCCTTGTTTTTCCCGTCCGCCCAATTACCACATCTGGAACCAGCACTCATGGATCGGGGCCGCCGGCCGGACCCCCGCCTGGCTTCAACGCGGAGGAAGCTAAGAAACCTCTTCCCAGAGAAGCCGCGACGCTTCCTGTTAAGAGCAAGACCATCGCTGGCGAGGTGCAGGAGGTGACTAAGAAAACGACTGAGGCCTTGGCCGGGACTGAAGCGTCTCAAAGCCAACTTGCGGAACAGAAGCAGTCCGGCGCCGAAAAGAGCGAAGGAAAGAAGGAGGAGCCCAAGTTGACCCTGAAACAAAAGATCAAGAAGGAGGCACAACACTACTGGGATGGAACCAAGCTGCTGGCTGCCGAGGTCAGGATCAGTTCGCGGCTTGCGATCAAGATGGCGGCAGGTTACGAACTGACTAGGCGAGAGAACCGCCAACTCCGGAGAACTGTTCAGGACTTGGGTCGCCTGGTTCCCTTTTCCATGTTCGTCATTGTGCCATTCGCCGAATTGCTTCTCCCTGTTGCGCTTAAGCTGTTCCCCAACATGCTTCCCAGCACCTACGAGGAACAGAAATCCAAGGACAAGAAGGCGTCTACGCTTCGGGCCACCCGGAAGGAGGTTAGCGACTTCCTGCGCAAGACTATGAAGGAAACCGGTCTCCCGTTGACGCAGGTTACGGCGCAAAAGGAGGAGTTCAGCAACTTCTTCCGCAAGGTCCGGTCTACCGGCGAGAAGCCCACTGCTCAGGACGTGATCAAGGTCTGCAAGATCTTCAAGGATGACTTGACCCTCGACAACCTGTCCAGGCCGCAGCTCGTGTCCATGTGCCGCTACCTGAACCTCAACACCTTCGGCACCGATATGATGCTTCGCTACCAGCTCCGCCACCGCATGAGGCAAATCAAGAGAGACGACCGTGCCATCAGCTACGAGGGCATCGAGACCTTGTCGGTCGCTGAACTTCAAGTCGCGTGCGCCAGCCGTGGCATCAAAAGCTACGGTGTGTCACCTGCCAGGTTAAGAGAGGATCTCCAGACTTGGCTGGATCTTAGACTTCGTGAAGGTGTTCCTTCCACTTTGTTGGTGCTTAGCAATGCCTACATGTATGGCCAGACCGATGGCGAAGTTTCCAGCCAAATTGAGGCTCTAACAGGCGTTTTGTCCTCGATCCCCGAGGAATTGTTCCATGAGATTGAGCTTGAGGTTCACAACGCGGAGGGCGCCGCCACGAATAAGCAACGACTTGAGGTACTAAAAGAGCAGCAAGAGCTGATCGACGAAGAGCTTCAGCAAGATCAGGAGAATCAGAAGACTGGCTTTGCTACGCCGAGAGATACGGAGGACATTGACGAGGATCATGAGAGGCACATGCAGGCCAAGGCCGACGGTATCGAGAAGGCCCAAGTTAGTGAGGCGGTAGATGCCGAGCAGGAGGCCCTCACAGCAGCCCGTGTTGACCAAGCGGGGGAGCAGAAGTCAGAGAAGACTACGGAGAAGTAAGCAAAATGTGAACGAGGAAAGTTTTTGGGAGGAGTTTAAGCGGGTGCCGGCAATTCGAATTCACTTCGACGTCCATGGGACCTTGAAATTCTCCTTTGTTGGATGTTTTGGTTGCGGGTATTTAGCAGCCCTACGGTTCGGGACGGTGTAGGCTTTGTATGGTTAGGCATGGAACAGGCACCGGCGAACCGCGACGATGGAAGAATCAAGGGTTTTTGTTGCATTCATGTCACATGGTTTGCTACTTTTTCACTCATTCTGGACAGCATGCATAGATCATGATATAACATATACTAGACACAGGAACGCATCTCAACCAAGTAGAAACAGCAAGCGATTGCACCCCACAAATCATGAGATGACCGGCGTTGTGAATGCGGACAAAGACTAAATGTAACACTGTACTGTAGAACAACTACCGGCGCCCAGGTCCATACTGGCGAGTAGGGGCGCTCAGGGCGATCAAGTGAAATGGCATATCACTTCAAGGGATGTCGCCAAGATGTCAAAGATGCATAACTTGAGTACCGGTACTCCAGATTCGATAGAGGTATTTCCAAATTCATGGACGGTAGAAACACGGGACGCAAGGGCGGCATCACCGAAACAGGTAGGCTCCGTACACTACCAGACTAGATGTACTCGCAGGGTTTCCTCTACATTCGGGCGTCATAGCAAAATGCCTACGAGATGTTATACATCCAAGTACCAACGTCAACTCCAGCATTTTCCTTCTATCTGTTCACCGTCATAAATCTAGGCTATATTTCAGAATCACTGTAATCCATTGTGTATATCGAAATGCTCACCATTAGGAGTATACTGGGCACCTTTTTTCTTATGAAGTAAAGTCCTTGACACGCTGCGATCCAGTGGTACCCTTCCCTCAGAACGTACTTGCAGCACCAACTGGGGATAGGCCGCCTCCAACTTGCAGTTGGCCTGCTTGGCTCTTTCCCCGCCATGCCATACGTCAATCCCACCGTCTGCGAAAGACAACCATATTCCCTTCCCACTCTACACCAACACGCTGCGCTGACCGACGGACTCTTAAAAGATTAGTTCTGAGCAATACATAGTGACATTACCCGAACCAAGTCTATGAGACGCGCATTTGTTATACAATATCTCCCTCTGAGCAATCTTGAATCGCACTCCCTTCCTGGGCGACTCGCAAGCACATTCCTACATTCAGACGACCGTTCAGTACCGGCCTGCAACCAAGTTGCCAAACCAGTTGCCTTAAAGCAAAAGCCGAGCAGACAAGCGGGCATACATAGTGGCGCAGCGGCGTCGTTAACGTCTTGGTAAAAGGCCATCGATATGGCGGTCATTGACCAGGACAACTTCTCCAACATTTCGTGGCATAGTGAGCAGAACGCAGAGTCGGCAGCCTCGACCGCGCAGGTCCATCACGAGTCCAACAGCAGTCCAGAGTACGCAAGAAGCGGACCAGACGACGGAAGGCCTGGTGACAACGCCGCCGGTATGGAACACGACGAGCTCGATCACAGCGGCGGCGAGATCCTCGACTGCACTGTGTCTGACCCGCACAAGGAGAACGATGGCACCAAAGATGCCTATGTATCCTATCTAATCACGACAAATGTATGTGCTGTTTCTCTACACAATACGATATTGGCCTTGGTTCACTGCCGTCTCGGGCTTCTACAAGCCAAGGCTCCTCCTACCATGGGTTTCCACAAGGCTAACATACCCTTCTTTTTTTTGTCATTTCTATAGACCACTTTTCCTTCCTTCCAGAAACCCAAAACCACAGTACGACGACGGTTCACCGATTTCGTTTTTCTCTACAAGGTCCTATGCCGTGATTACCAGGCTTGCGCCGTCCCTCCGCTGCCCGACAAGCAGCGAATGGAATATGTGCGGGGCGACAGGTTCGGCACTGACTTCACCGCGAGGCGGGCATACTCGTTACAGCGATTCCTGGCTCGTCTGGCCCTTCACCCGATACTGCGGAAAGCCGACATTCTCCATGCCTTCCTGGAGAGCCCCGACTGGAATGCTACCATGCGCAGCCGGTCGGTCCGGGGGTCGCTAGCGTCGCCCGGCGGGATCGGTGATTCGACTCTCGGCGGAAGTGCTGCAGCGGGCGGTGGCGGCGGCGGCGTCTTTGATACATTTGCGGACAGCTTCATGAATGCATTCACAAAAGTGCACAAGCCCGACCGGCGGTTTATCGAGATCAAGGAGAAGAGCGACAAGCTGGACGAAGACCTCAACCATATTGAAAAGGTAGTGGCGCGGGTGGCCCGCCGGGAAGCCGATATTGAGTCGGACCTCAAAGACCTAGCCGAGCAGTTCCAAAAGCTCATTACCTTGGAGCCCGGAGTCGAGACAGCTGTGCGTGCCTTTGCCGCTTCGGTGGAAGACACCGGATCCGGGCTCAAGAAGCTCAAAGACCATACTGACCAGGACTACCTTGGCTCGCTACGGGACATGGTGGCATACAGCGGCACCCTCAAGAACCTACTCAAGGCGCGCGAGCAGAAGCAGCTCGACTATGAGCAGCTGACCGAGTACCTCAACAAGAGCAGGACGGACCGCGACATGCTAGCGTCAGGCCAGAGCTACGGCACCGGCTCGGCGCTCATGAGCGGTGCGGGCGGCTTCATCCGCTCCAAAATCGAAGACGTCCGCGGCGTGGACCACGAGCAGGCGCGCCGCGACCGGCAGCGCAAGCTCGAGCTTCGTATTGAAGAGCTCACTCGCGAGGTGGAGGTGGCGCGCAACGAGTCGGAGAGCTTCGCGGAGCAGGTCAGCCGCGAGGTGGAGAGCTTCGACTGGATCAAGCGCGTCGAGTTCAAGCGCCAGTTCAGCGGGCTGGCGGACGCGCATATTGAATTCTACGGTGAAGTCATGTCGGTGTGGGAGCAGTACGTGATGGAGATGGAGAAGGAGGGAGTCGTCCTCCCGGCATAGAAGGCTAGGGAGGCGGCAAAAACCAAGGAAGAGGATACTACGACTGACGAGGAAGAGTGGGCGGATAGTCATGAATATCTCCACCATGACAACGAGAGAGATCAGCAGGGTGCTGGTGCTGGTGCTGGGGCCGGTGCACATAGGGGAGGCCCGAACTACGGCGGAGGTTTATCACCACCGAATTGGAATGATATGGACTGGCATGTGGTGCCGGGACCCAACGGCTCTTGAGCTCTGTTGCATACAAGGCTCTGCTGGAGCCTCCGCCTGTTTCGTAGAATGGGACAAAGAACTCCACCGTAGGACTGGCCGTGTGACGAGAAGGGGATGATGTGTATTTTTCTAATGAATAGCTACTACGCAGGATCGGTTATGTATTGGCATTGCATTGCTATTAGGTGTGCTGCGATAGCACGCAGGAATGACATTGTTAAACTCATTGACGGCCCCTATTATTAAAATGCGGAGGGATTCATGGCTCCTATTCGCGGTTGGCCTAGGACTGAGCAAGGTAAAATCATCATGATGCTCCGTAGGATAATATCAAATTTGTGTTTCGGTGATATCAATCGTCAGCAGCAGCCATGCCACCAAGCTCAAGAAGGGACACAGTCGAGGGCTCAGCACGATACAAAATGTAAGCCAAAGACGCGCGCAAGCAAAAGAAGTGGTGCTCTATATTCGCCATCGAAGTCTTTTCCATAACTTCGAAGAAGAAGAATAGTAAAGGTACGCCTAACTCAACTCATGACTATTGACTTTATGAGATCCCCTCTCTATAACTACCGCAAAAAGACAGAAGACACTTTATCGCCGCAATGGCCTCGACCCATGCCCACCATCGTCGCTATCACTCTCATCATCATCATCATCATCCCCCACAACATGATGTCCACTTTCATCATCACTATCCGATCTCAAAGCTCTTGCCTGCCTGCCTCCATTGCCAGCCGAACCAGAACCAGAACCACTTCCACTCGCACGTTCACTACCGCTCCCACTGCCGCTGCCAACCTCATCAACCCGATCACGATAAACCCCATCATCAGCATCCTCATCATCACTACCGCCAGCAAACGCATCATACAACTCCCCACCGCGCGTTCTTTTGCCTCCCGCCAAGCCGCCAGCGCCAGCCCTGCGCTTCTCAGCACTGCTGCCGCCGCCGGCCAGACCCTCGGCCTCCTCCTCGTCCAGCAGCTCGAACTCGTAGTCGCCACGCGGGTTGTTGCGCAGGCGCTTGCGCCGGGCAAGCCAGAAGTAGACAGCCAGACTGATGCAGAAGACACCGATAAGGGCGGCGGAGCCGTAGACCCAGACCATGGTGGCGGCTGACTTGCCGAAGGTGGGCAGGAAGGAGGGCAGCCAGGTGCTGTTTGCAGGAGTGGTGGTCTCCGAGGTTTGTTCGTCAGAGGTGGGCGACGGGTTGGAGGCGTCGGTGGGAGTTGGTTTCGAGTTGACGGGGCGGTTGGGATGGTCGGACACGGTGGTAGGCTTGGTGTCGGTGGCGATGGGTTGGGGTGGTAGGGTGGTGGTGGTAGCGGGGAGGGTGGTCGTGGCGATGGCGGCGTGGTCGTTGTCGTCTTCCTCGGTCGGCATCGGGAGTACCTTGGCCTTGGAGGCGTCCTTGCTCTCGCCCCAAAGCTTTAGGTGCCAATCGGTGAAGACGCCCTCGTGACTGTTGATTTGGGTGTCTTTAACGATGATTGTCCAGTTACCGACGCCGGTTTCACCCCTGGTTATGTACAGGTTAGCAAAGATCACCTCGGATAATCGCAGTAACGCGTGCGCTTACCAGTGAACGACACTCATGAATGTCCAGTCATCATAGCCAGCGCGGGCCTCGTCGTTCTTCCGGCTGACCGAAAGATGGCTGACCAGATTGTTGGGGCTGATGAGATCAACACTAAGATCTCCTCGTCTAGTATGCATGATGTTCATTGTAACCGTAATATGTTCCAGGCGCTCGACGTTGGCCTCATCCAGCATTGCCTGCGTAACTTCATAGCTGACGGCAACTCCCGTGTCTCCCTGGGGAATTGCTTTGTTGACATGGATCCAAGGAGAGTAGAACCAGGCCTGAGGCTTCACCTTCTTCCAGGTCTTGGCTGCCTGAACAATGGCGTAGCTGTCGAGTTTGCCGTAGCCATACATATGGCTGAATTGTTTGCCAATAGCAGTCGTCTGCCACTCGCCGCTGTCAAGGTTGATAGGAACAGCAGTGTTCACGGTAAGATACTGCATATCTCTCCATGAGAGATCTGGGCGAACCTGCAGAACAAGAGCAAAGATACCAGCTGCGAGCGGAGCGGCAGCTGAGGTACCACCGTGAGTATCAGAACAAGCATTTCCGACGTCAGTCGTGTGAATTGAATCACCACCGCCGCTGGAGTATGTCACGACCAGATTCGCGGAACACGATTCAGAGTAATAGGGATGGTCGCCGTTTCTGTCAACGGCTCCGACGGTGATGCTGTAGATGCTGTTGGTGTAGCCATCGAAATTGCAATTATCTCCGTTTCCTGCACCATTGCCGCTGGCAAAGACATAGATTGACCCCAGCCCACCACGGCCCTTCTGGACGGCATTGAGCATAGCCCTCTTGATGAGAATTCCGGGAGCATCCATACTCTGCCCGTCATCAGGGGGTCCCCAGGAGCACGAATAAATCTGATTGTGCTGAAAGTCGTAGTTCATAGCAACGGCTTCATCAGCGTCAGATATCAGTTTTGACAAGATACGCAGGCCGGCAATCCTAGAGTCATATGCTACTCCCACACCGCAGGCTTTGTTTTTCCCGGCCGAAACTTCACCGGCACAGCGAGTTCCGTGTTTATCGTCGCTTAATCGGGGCTTTGGATCAGGACCCTTGTCGTTAAAGTCCCATGACCCTTGGGCGTAGTAGTTGTCTTTCAAGTCATCGGTTTCCATATCCAAACCATCGTCGACAATGGCGACGGTGGCGTTTTTTCCAGTGACGCCTTCAAGCCAAAGCCCGGTAACATTCACATCGTGTCCAGTCTGGACAGTGTTGAAAAGATGCCACTGCTCCTTGAATATGGGATCTCTGATGCCCAAATTCCCGATAACTTCGTTTTGCTTCTTGACTGCCCAGTCAACCTCTTGGTCGGAAAAGAGACCCCTTCTAGAGGGTCCTGCTGGCCGGGGGACCATGCGCTTCTCCCAAGGTTTCCGCAAAATTTGCTTCTCTGAAAAGAGGACACTATCCAGAACATGGGGCTCGTCGCCTAATGATCGTTTCCGGCGCCGGCGCTCCGTCAATTCTCTCTTGACGATATCGTGCTCGGCTTTCCTCCCAACAAAGAGATGGTGATCCTGGAGTTCACCAAGGGGCCCCTCATGAGACAATCCTAGGCTCCTGGCAACTTCGGTAGGTGACGTTCGGGCATCGAGATGGAGAACATAGTAATCGTTCGAATCGAAGTCGCGGGGGAGGACATTGGACGCTATAGCCAGAGCGGCCAAGCCCAGCGGCGTTGCGATGGCCGAGAGCTTCATAGCTGAGTTCGGGTAAATGATCTGGAGCGGCCCAAGGTCGGTCTACTTCGCAGGGGATGCGCAAGGTTGTGTAAGTGTTTTCAGTTGGTTGCGGTGTCGAGCATCAAAGACGAATTTGTACGACCAGCTCGTGTAGGTATATAGACAAGCAGAACAGTGTCTTATTCGATCTCGGCTATGGCAAAATAGTAGCGCCAGGGATAGCAACGGTGTTGGCCAATAATCAGAATGATGTTACGAAGACGGCATCGGTTCCCGGCGACTGAGAAGAGACTGGAAGGTCGAATCGAAAGCTCGTCCCTGTCGAACGGACATGGAGGCTTCGCGCGGAACTGGTCAGACAGCTATTTATTGCATAAGCAATGGAATCAAGGAGGGAGAGGGCACAGCATACAGGACGAAGCCCACTTGCGACCGTAGCAGCGGTCGAGAATCAGATAGGCCCACTGAGCAATCCTGTATAGGCTGGGAATGAGAAAGGCGGCACAGTTTCCCCGTTTCACCACGAAAAGATTAGGAAGATGGGTTGATTTGGAGACGGAGAATTCACTTGTTGGGAGTTCAGTTCGGCAATCTGGCGATGTGGCCTAGTAGAAAACCATCCCGCCACAGCGCAGGGGCAATGCACACAGACGGGCTGCGCAAGTGGCCCGGGCGACAGGCTGGGACCGGTTGGTACCTGTAGGTAGGTACAGGGCAGCTGCCAAGGGATAGACAACACCTCCAGGGGCAGAGAGAAGGACGGAACCTACCTCTACCTACCTACCTCAAGAGGTATGGACCCTGAATGACGCGGCAGTTCTGGTGGGGCCGAGACTCTAGGGGCCCCTTGTAAGGGGGGCCCCCATGGGGCAGGAGCAGTGTCAGCATTCCACATGTATTCTGCGCCGTTACAAGATATTGATTTACACCCCTCGACACCATAGAACCGTCTTTATACCAATCATACCTTGTCTTGTTGGAACGATCACCGAGATTTACCTTTGCTCAGTTTTCCATGTTCAAGGCGCTGCTCAGGGATGGGGTTTTAGTAATGTTCCGTACCTAGTGCACTGTCAAACGTCCCATCTTCCGGGTTTCGTCTTGTCTTCAACCGACATTCCAGCCGTATTCGCCATGCGAGACAAGACGAAACTTTGAAGATCATCTATGCTCAAAAATTCCCACTATCATCGATGGTATCTTGGGAAAACTATAGAATACTGTCCATATCTCAGCCTTTGGTTCCGACACACAAGATGGTAACGACGACAGCATTTCCATTGACGCCTCCCATATCATGCATGGCGGTAGAGGTGGACGGTCTTCACGTTGCCTGCGGAAAACAACGTGGCTTCGAAACATGTTTGTGAAACGAGGCGTTTGCGTATGAGTTGGGCCTTTCCGCTTTCTCACCTCAATAAGGATGAATGGCTTCTATGATGGTGTTGCTCCCTTGGTACTCGTTCGGCATTGTCAAAGAATCGAAGAGGCTTTACGCCAACGCCAACAGGTCACCGAACCCGGCCAAACAACCACAGACAACTCAAAGTCGTGTAAAGGGAGACTGAAGGCGAGATCTTGGTGGGCTGTATCGATGTGAACCACTGTACCTACCTACCTACTTCTTTGTTTTGCCTCTAGTAACCTCAAGCAATCTTCTACTAAGCAACGCGGCGCTTGTACCAGTATCATGGAGCCGTAAAGGTAGGTACCTCTGGTTACCCAGTTGTACGGCTCTTAAGCGTCATGTATAAGACAAGTACCCCGACCACCACCCTCCTGGGACAATTACATACCACAACTCCGGGCACTGTACAGGTCAGTGCTGACTCTGTAGGGCCACGTTCCGTTGTTAGATGCTAAACGATGTCTTTGTGCGGGCAGTCGAGCAGCATAGTACCTAAGTTCCTTTCGGTTTCTCTTGAGTGATCAATTCAGTCCTGCAGAATGGGAACAACAGCGAGACACGACCTTCGATGCAGTGGTCGAACTTGATAACGTCGGGTAGAGATCAATCCCGGAGCAACAGACAACCAATGATTGGCCATCGAGATCCTTCTTGCACCAGCAACAGCCTGCTGTACCTCTAGTAGGCCTTGCACATTGGCAGATACAATATCTCTGTCCCGAGACAAACGTCGTCGGAAATCTGATGTCTCCTTGCCCGGTAACGAGGTGCCAGCCACCGGCATTATGAAATTCGGTAAGTATGTTAGTTGCTGTGAAGCACAAGACGGGAACTCTTGATTTAGGGCAACGGCCGCTCACTATCGGCTATCCATGCCCGCGCTGTGTTTGGGTTACCTCACGGTCAGCGCGGGTCGGGTCTCACCAGTCTCACTCCCTGACCTTAACGGCCAACCTCTTCACCTTGCCCAAAAAAGTCTAGCGGCACTTAAACCAAGGTCTGGCGGACAGGATCCGCCTTTCTCGTTTCTCGGGACTGCCCTTCCTTGCGACAAGGAAGTTGCAGTTTCAGTCCCCGCAAACCCGCTTATCACAAACGACAGATGGAAGTTGCAATCAAGCTTCATCTCAACTTGGAGATCGATGCGTAAAGAATAAGTGACCGTGTGCTTGGGGGCGGGATGGCAGGCACCATTATCCCGCCCAGAAGAATGGGACGGCAGACTGCAACGTGATTCAGTTTGCGCTGGAGGTTGGATTTCGACTGGATTTCTATCCGACTGTCCGATCCCGAATTCCGCCCTGCTGCAGCAAAAGGCACTGCACTGCAGTCTGCAGTATGCAGCGAGCAGCCATTCAGCTCAAGTCAATTGTCCAGGGCAGGGCATGGCAGGGCATGGCATGGCATGGCATTGAGCAACCTGACCGAGAGCCCATCGAGCCCAATTCACGACCGGTGCCAAATTGTGACTGGCTTGCCTGAACCTTTCTAGCTGAGATAGTATGTACCTCAGTCCTGCCCTTGATCAACAAATTTGTCGAGGTACACAGGTACAATATACACACACAGAGCTCCCACTATCGCGAGAGCTGCTTCCTTGGAAAGAAATTCGCGCCCAAAAGTAACCTCGTCAGCTCCGCCCAAGCGCTTTCAAGCTGAGTCCTCCAGGTCCCTCGGTCTCCGGTACATATACTCGTCATCTCAATAAGGATTCCCGTCCTGACATTGACACTCAAGCTGATCTTTTTCTTGCCTCGTCTCCAAGTTCTTCAGTGGGGCCGCTGAAAGACATTGACAACTGCATTCCCGGGGCAGATTCCATGCTGCTGTAAAGATCTTCTAGACGACTTCGACACACTACATACTGCACAGCAGCTGCTTAACAAACTGGAGGGTACCTACATTGGACTCGCTGCCAGAGCGCATGTGTCTGCTCAACATTGGCTGCTAGTTATGGCTAGTCTCGCTGTTTCACCAACCGCGCGCTCGTGATAGTTACCAGCCTCCAGTCGTGCCCTGGCATCGAGGTCAGCCAGCCTCGGGTGGTCGTCCTTCAGTCAGCTTACGGGGACCGTAACACACAATCAGCTTTTCACCAACTAGTCACGAAACGGACAACAAACACGTCAAAATGTCGGCTCCGTACTGGGGCCAGCTCCCACCACTAGCTACAGTTGCTAGGAGTCGGCGCATGTCTGGCGATGTGACGCCGACAACCCCATCCGACTCACGCCAGTCCTTCGATATCCACTCGCAGAACCGCCAAAGACCGGATCGCAATTCTGTCCAGACCACAAGGTCGGAAGTTCAAACTGACTCAAATTCCAGCCCTTTCGCATCGCCGACCACTCCCAGCTTTATGGGCCACGGACCTGCGCCTCCCCCAGCACCAGTGCCATACGGTACCGGCAACAAGTATCCGCCCGAGTTACTAGAAAAGCGCCTTCGCCGTCGGAGCCAGAATCAAGACTATGACTTAGACTATGCACTCGATACTGGCCCACCGCCGCCTGCCGTCCCGGAGGCTCCCACAGGACCTCCCATGAGTTACAGATATCCCGCTGCCATTGCTGAACAACAAAATTCGTACTTGAATTCCTCTCCGGGATCATCCCCCTTGACCCAAGACGTGGGCTCAGCTGGATTTCACCAGAATCAAACCTCGGCCGGTGAACAGCAAGTATCTCGGGACACGAGTAATGCGAGCACGAGCTGGCGACCACAGCGTATCGTTAACGGATCGACGCGTTCGGCAAACATGCCACCATCTGCGGGAGCAAACAGCCACCGACGCAGGGTTTCTGGTCTTGACCAGCCTCTACAGAGGAGTACTAGGCGCTCGTCAGCGAGCCAGCCAGCAACCCGACAGAGAATGTTCGCAGACGACCGCTCACCACTTCAGAGGCTCCAGCTGACCCTGGACAGCATAGCAAAAGAAGAATCAGGGGAAGGACCTACTCCACAAGCCGAAGCCACCGACGGCCCAACACGAAAAGGTGCGCCAGAGAACTCGGCATATGAACAGACCGAAGTAAAGACGATATCGCCGCAAGTGCCTGTCCAGATTCAACAGGTCGCGCTCGCCTTTCAACGTCAGGATCAACCCTCACAGACTATGCCGGTAAGTTCGACGACTTCAACCAGACCTGACCAAGGTTCGGCGGCTGCAAAGGGACCTCTCTCGCAGAATCCTCCCGAAGAAGGGCGAACGTATGGAGCAAACGGTGGGCGAGTTGCTAGAACTCAGGTGCCTGACCCACGGATTCCAATGAACGCGGCCGTCAGGACTTCTAATCTGCCACAGCGCAACCTCAGTTTCCGCGAGAGAGCAGCTAATCAGGAGGCCAAGCTGCCCAATGGTATCAATGAAGCCTTGGGCCCCATGCCCGCACCAAGGAAGGTGGTGAAGAAGCCGGTAGCAGAGCCATGGCCAAGGCAAAGCCAAGAAAAGCAGGAGGCCCTGGAGTCAGCAGAGGTTCGAGATCATCAACCAGTTGAGGATACAGTCGAAAGGGCTGTCAAGGATGACCAAAGTCAGCAGTTCGGCAATATCACCATTGGAGCGAGCGCAGAGCCAGCCAGAGTAGCGAGCCAGAGAAAGGCGGACAAAATGCTTGGTCGTGCTCCCATCCAGCAACCTCAGCAGTATACAACACCTACGGAGCGACAAATCCAAGTTCAGACCGAGCCCGACCCCCAACCTCCCGTCGAAAGTCCCATCATTCCTGCCGAAACCCCACAGGCTACGACCGAAAGGATGCCCATGCGCGGGCCGAACCATCCTCACCCACCTAACTACCAGCACCAACACCAGCACCAGGCACGAAGAGATGTTAGACGTGACGACCAAGGGAGAGATCTTAGACGCGACCGCGATGATGCTGAGCCTGGCCATCACATCTCTAATATTTTGTACCATGCGCGGGACGACCTCGAACCCGGGCAGGGCGAGTTTCAACCAACAAAATACCTAGAAGAGTGGAAGAATGGCACAGTCGGTACTCTTGGCGGCCCGCTTCTTGACCTGGGTAATGTATCGCCTGTAGGAGATAAGGGCGCACCCCAGTTTCGGAGACGAGGTACCGGGGGACTGCGGCCAAGGAGAGGTGAAGCTTTTGATGGGGAGTATGATGACACTTATGGTATGTAATCGCTCCCTGACTTGTTCGCGAAATGACAGTAACATCACAAGTAGCCTTGTGACCTAGTGATTGGCATCGTCCCTTTCCTTTCTTTTCTTTCTTTCTTTCTTTCCTTCCTTCCTTTCTTCTTCTATTTTCCATCTTTCTTTTCCTCTGTCCTTCTTTCTTTCTTTCCCCTTTATTATGGCGTGCTATGAACGGCTTCTAGTCACTAACTCACTCCTTCTTGTGAAGCTCCCACGAGATTCAAGCCGCCACTCTACCTCAAATGTGGCCCTCTTCTTCGGTTTTGCGGTATCCGGCATGACCGTGTGGCCACCCGCTCCCCCAAACCCGAGGCTGTGCTAGAGAAAGAGATATGGCGCGGTTCAGTCATGATCGTCACATCAGACGCCGATTCATCATACGATATTGCCCCGACACTGAGGCTATTTGCTCAACCTGTGGAACTCTTACCCCCTCCGCCAAAAATTATACATGGTGATGAGCCTTTGGCAGCAGAGTATGTTGACCCCATCGCAGGCCATCCTAAGTTAGGACGCAAGGGCGAGACTCTCTATGTCAGACCGGTCGACCATCTGGACGAAGGCAAGGATCTTTCCCGGGATGAGACCGACAACGGATTATTCGAAAAGTCAAGAAGCGCGCCAGAGTCTCTGCCGGCCGGCGTAACTGACCCGCCCGGCTCGTTCAACGCCCGAAAGAAACGCGCCAGGATTGATGGTGAGAAAGTAGGAAAGTACAAAGACGTCCGAGGTTTCCGACTTCACGCCGAGCGAGGATACACTTTCTGGCGATTTAATATCGAAGTCGAACTCCGCGAAAAACAACAACGCATCGCTTATCGGATCAACAGGGGACCGGCGACGGGGTTTTGGGTCCCAGCCAAAGGACAGGCAATGAACATTATGTTCCACAGCTGCAACGGCTTTAGCTTGAGCGTCGATCCTAACCAGTTCAGCGGCCCCGACCCTATGTGGCGCGACGTGCTCAACACTCACCAGAGCCAACCTTTCCATGTGATGATCGGTGGTGGTGACCAAATCTACAACGACAAGTGCATGCAAGAGACGCAACTCTTCAAGGAATGGCTGCTTATCAAGAACCCGTTGCACAAGAAAGATATTCCCTTCAGCGCGGAGATGCAGGACGAGCTTGAGCGCTTCTACCTGGACCGATACGCCATGTGGTTTTCGCAGGGTTTGTTTAGCATGGCAGCCTCACAAATCCCCATGGTCAACATGTATGATGACCACGACATCATTGACGGCTTTGGCTCGTACCCCCATCATTTCATGAACTCCCCAGTGTTCTCGGGACTTGGCAATGTTGCTTTCAAGTATTATATGCTTTTCCAGCATCAGAGCGTGGTGGATGAAACGGAGAAATCCGAGCCAAGCTGGATCTTGGGTGATAAACCGGGCCCGTACATCCACGAGGTCAGTCGAAGTATGTTTATGTTCTTGGGCGCAAAGGTTGCACTACTGGCGGTTGACGCACGGACTGAGCGAACGCGAGAGGAAGTCATCAGAGAAGATACATGGAAGAGAATTATGGACCGGTGTTATGGTGAAATCGAAAACGGGAAGGTAGAGCATCTGCTGGTCCTCCTTGGTGTGCCGGTCGCTTACCCGAGGCTGGTCTGGCTGGAAAATATGTAAGCATTGCTCTGATCTCCAGGAAACACGATCTTGTTTTACTAACCCCGTTTTTTGTTAGCTTGACCTCTCGTCTGATGGATCCTGTCAAGGCTCTTGGAAAAGCCGGCCTTTTCAAAAACCTTTTAAACCATTTCGATGGAGGCGTTGAAGTCCTGGATGATTTGGACGACCACTGGACAGCCAAAAACCATAAGGAGGAGCGGGCAATTGTGATCGAAGATCTACAGGACCTGGCAGCTGACAAGTCCGTCAGAGTTACTATTCTCAGGTAAGCACCAATTGTCCACCGCAAAAACAGCACACTCCGTGAGCGTCCTGAAGCTGACCATCTTCTACAGCGGTGACGTCCACTTGGCAGCCATCGGGCAATTTTACTCGAACCCCAAGCTCAACATCCCGAAGGACAAGGACTTCAGGTACATGCCAAACGTCATCTCCTCCGCTATCGTCAACGCTCCGCCTTCAGATATGTTGGCCGACGTGCTCAACAAACGTAACAAGGTGCATCATTTCGACCGAGACACGGACGAAGACATGATCCCAATGTTCCAACAAGGTGTCGATGGCAAGCCACGTAACAACAAGCACCTGCTTCCACACCGCAACTGGTGCTCAATTCGGCTGTATAACCCCGGGAACACACCAGACTCCACACCCGGCCAGTCCGTAATTGGCATCAACGCCTACGGACTACCTCCCAACGGACCCAGCCTGTTACGTCGCCTCTCACTTTCCAAAACACGAAGCCAATCCGGCCCCACATACCGCGGCCCCGACAGCGTGCGCGACCGAACCCGCCCGCCCATCTCCAACGCGTTGCTCCGCACTCTCTCCCGCCGCGGACCAAGCGCAAGCGCTGATCAAGTCGTCCCCGGAGGCCGCGGAAGCCCAGCGGCAACAGGAAAGCCCCCCGGATTGTTGAAGAGGACGCTCTCGGGCTCCTCCATAAGCGGTAAAGTCGGCGACTTCTTCCGCCGTCGTAACAGCATCAGCTCCCAGCGGCCGCGTGTGGGTGATGAGGGCATTGACGGGACTTGGGTTCCGGAATCGGACGCTGAACAGGCTGTTTACGATGACTATGCCCATGTTGGGGATGAGTATAACATCCCTAAGATCCGCGGTGGCATTCGCGATGGCATGTCTGCTCGTGTGGGCTTGCGCGGTGGAGGGGGTGAATACCATCCTACTCCCCCCGTGCCCGCTGGTATTGGTGGTGACGAGTTTGTTGCCGGTGACGAGAGTTACTTTACGGCCAAACCGGTCTCTGATCATAATCGTGGAGTTAGTACCGGTGGCGAGTACCCCTCTTCACCAATAACCGGTTTCAGTAACACCGGCCGGAGTGGTCCCACGGGCATGGGCATGGGCATATTCCAGTCCCAAGCAACATCCGCCTCCTTGCCAGAACGGGACTTTGCACCTTCTCAACCCTCACCTCGTAGTGGCGGCAGTATGTTCCGTTCCAGAACAACAGGCGGTGACACAAGAACCATAAAGCGCGGAGACGCCATACCTCGAATCATGGCCGACGGCGCACTGGAAGTCACCCTCAACGTGGAGATCAGCCCGTGCGATCCGGGAGGCAGCACGGTGCCGTACCGCCTGCTGGTGCCCAAATTATCGTATGAGTATGAGGGCGAGGATCATGACCACGATCACGATCCGGAGATGAATGCGATGGTTGGGGAGGAGCGTACGTCGAGCCCGGGGCAGGTGCAGACGTTAGAGTCTAGGCAGCGGGAGGAGATGGGGATGGAGATGGGAATGGTGATGGGGATGGAGGAGAAGCCTATCACTAGTGGTGGTGGAGGGCTTAGACGGTTGCTTAGTTTGAAAAGGAATGGTCGACGATGAGGATAGGAAATGATGACATGGGACGGGATGTAGTGGGTGTAATGCTATGATTAATTTTGGGTTGGATGTGCTTTTCACTATTCGTTAGTCTTGGATTGGGTTTTAGGCAGTTATGCACCTGAGCTAAAGTACACGTGAAGCAGGTACAGATGGATAAAGTATGTACTAGATGACGATTTAACGATTGATGAATGGACATGTCCTTTTTTTACACAATGCTTGTTCACTGTTGGCGAGGAATCTATCGTTCTTCTAGACGCAACCGGTGCTTCTGATTGGCTACCGCCACAGAGGCCGATGTGCTAGATAAGCTGCTATCGTTCTTTTTAGTGGGGATGCGTTATGACGAACATTGAGGTGACGGGCAGGAACTTGTTGCTGTTCGGCAATCTGTCCTTGATCCTGCTCTCTCGCCTTGATTATCGCATTCAATTCAACTTCGTATCTACTTTGCCTCTTCAATCTCTCATCCGAACTCACTGCCGATTAATCCTCGACCGTATACTCCTCGTACTCTCGGCTACTGATTATCTTTAGGCTGTCAAGTATACCAACCCAATCGAGATAATACGAACCGTTCGGGATTCACGACCTACCGCAATCTTCCATCACTCTTCGGTTCGACGACGTCGTTCCAGCGCAGGCGCATTCAAAGCAAGTAACATCCAGGATCGCCCTTGATTCAACCGACCTTGGGCGCAAAGAAACACCAGCACACCTCATACAACTGCCCTGCGCGGATGATGGCTTGAATGGCGTCAGACACGGAACCACAACATGAACCACAGCAGGAGGAGCAGCGGGAGCTGGCTCTTAACGGCAGAACCGAAGGGGAAGAAGTAACAGAAAACGGAACCGAGCTACCTCCACGACCCGCGACACCGTCGACGAAACCAACCACCGGCGCGTGCCCACCGCAAGCGCAACCATTATATTCCAACAATGACGACGAATGTTCCTCAGACAACGCCCTAGGCACTAGTTCCGCGGACGGCTCTTCCCAAGATGATGCCAGCTCCGAGCTAGTAACCTCCCCATCAGTGACTTCGCCGCCCTACTGGGCACACGGACACACCACGCACAGCCAGGGGGGAACGCGGCATGCAAGGACGATGTCAAGCGTGTCAGCGGAAAGCGATCTGCTACCGGGAGCCATCACGCTGCAGGATAATGAGCACGATGACGGGCCAGACGGAGCGAACGTGTATGGACGGGACCGCAACCGGGCGTGCTGGGCGAAGAAGGTGGATATTGTCGATTACATACTGGTGAATGGGGGGACGGCAAATATTGGGGCGTTTGTGGTTTGGAATATCAAGGTTGAGACGTTGAATGTGCGTACAGTTTCTTGGTAACTTTTTTGCACCTTGGAGTTGGAGACGTCGACTAACCTTCAGCAACTTCTCTCTTGTAGGGCTCGCGAATGAACATAAGGAAACGATATTCCGAGTTCGACAGTCTCAGGAAACGTCTCGTCCAGACTTTTCCAAACTTTGAGGCGGCTGTACCTCTAATACCTCCCAAGAGCATCTTACACAGGTTCCAGCCCAAGTTTCTCGAAAAAAGGAGGGCCGGACTACAATATTTCTTAAAGTACGTACGCATTCCAAGATGACCTGACTTCCTTTAACAACTCGCCTCAGAGCTCTAGAGATACGTTACTGACCCCCTTATAAAAAACAACAGCTGCATTTTACTCAACCCAGAATTCTCTGGATCTCCTGTTTTGAAGGAGTTTCTCTTCTCGTAAAGATACCAACGGTAAAAGAAAAAAAAGGAAAATGCGCAAGAGACGATGAACGAACTTTACCAGTTTCGACGATGAGGCAATGGTAATATGAATAACTCCTGACCAGATCATGGGTAATGGCCTGGGTACGATGACGACGATGACGATGATGACGGTGATGAAGTGAACGGGACACGGACGCCTTGGCTTATTGGCTGGATGGGAACGGGATGCCCGAGAACCGAGACTCTCGTGAGCAAAACAATCAGATGAACTGGACGCTACACTAGGGCGTGGAGAGACATGTCGCAACAATGCTAAGCGGCTGGACCCGTTCTACGTTTTATACAATAGGTCTTCAAGATCGGCATTGCTCTGTTTGACCTTGGGACGTTTGAGATAGTCAGAGTTTCTGGAGTTCGCTGTGATTCCGGGTCAAATGATGGAAGATGGGTTTGGCCTCTTCTCTTTTCCCTGCAATGTAGCTACCACTCCCAATATCGCGTTCTAAACCCAGGTTATCGATCCGCCGAGAAGCTATCCACAGTAGGCCAATGTCGCAGTCGGCTCTGGGCCAGTTTGCTTTGCCCAAAATCCAGATTCACCGTTGGTCTCAGCCGACATATCCAAAGTTCTAGACGTTTTCCGGCTCATGGGCGTACACTACTTGGGCAATCAAGGAAGAACAATCCTCAGCCGCATTTTGCCTGCTTGCTTGCTGATCGACCCCATGGATGGGTAGAAGATATAGTGTAGTGGTGTGCTTAAAACGTGGAATAGCATTTTAGTACGGATAGGATTATGGGGTAGATCATCGATTTAAGTCGAGGTTCTGCTGCTTTATTATGAAATGCAAGTCGAGAGGTCCATTCCCCCCACGTTCCCAATGCACTGTTCATAGCGCGGAGTAATGACTATGACTTTTGGCTGTGGGGGAGGAACTGCTGAGGGTCATACAGTATGCAGTCAGACCAGTTTTACAATTGAAATGTTGAAGTATCAAGTCTCAATAGCCCCGAGACTTGTCTGACCCAGCAAATCCAGCCGTTGCCGTATTTTGAACAGAGGCGGACCTCTCGGGCTCCGGTGGAGAGTCGGCTGTACTATGTATGTACATGCAGGCGGGAATACCGATACGAAAACACCTCAACAAAAGCAAAAAAGTAAGGAAGGTGAATGACCAAATGTTGAAGGGCCAAACGAGATAAAATGCGGAAAGGTGGTTTGTGAGCGGCTATTCGTTATGAATGGGGATCCCCGCCATTCTCCGCTTTCGCCATTGAATTACTTGTTGCCTCATCACTAGAGCAAATACGAGGTCGATGCAGATACGCACAACCGTTGGAATCCTACCGTCAGGTGCACATCAAAAACTGTTCCGTCGGTCTGCGCTTCTTTACATACAAGTTGCAAATCAGGTGTCCCGAGTGTGCCGTGTGAAAAAGGTATCAGTCGGGAGAGACGTGGGGTTTGATGTCCTTGAAGGTAACCCCGTGTTGTCCCCGTTCGGGTCGGGGTTTTGTTTCCAGTCCACAAGTGTTCAGTTCACTCAGATCACTCGGACAAACTGTTATGATCTCGTATGAATGATATGTAGTTGCCTCTGAGCAGTCAGTCGGTCTTCCCTCCCCTCTTAACAAAAGTATATATAGATAGAGGTACCTCTATGCAGTATGCATTCAGGAATGCAACCTACCCATAACGGGCCAGTTGCGTCCGATGCGATAGCAGAGTTCAGTTGCTTGCCGCTTTTACTATTCTTTGTACACAGGGGACGAGACGATCAAGACGCAGGCAGACCATTGTTGCCAACAAGACATGTGTAGGTTGAAGAGACAAACTTTCAAGTTTGGGACTACTATTGTGATGCCGCATAGTTATTGGGTATCCGCTCCGGTTGCTGTGTTTTTATGCCTGGAATTCGGTGTTGTTGTTGTCAAGAGCTTGTTGACCGAGATGTTTCATCCGGGAGAATTATTGCGGATCGACAGTGCACAGCAGCAATCATTAGCAAATGCAAGCATGTAAACCGGCCGCCGCTCAGTGCATGCCGGTCGATGCAGTTGTGCACCTCCAGAAGGAAGTGTCAATCGCCGTAAACCTTATCGGGACGGGGATGCGTGATGTTAATGCTGGCTACCCTGGTCCCGGTAATTTCAAAGATGAAAAAAAAATGAATACACGATAAGCATCTGGACGGGGTAAGTTGTATTACCATTTGGTTTATAGCAATGCAGATTTAAGACGGCAATATCATGGGTTTTCTTACTCTCGCCCATGGTGTTCGTCCCAAGTCTCTCGGATGCCTATGCTCATGTCAAACAATTATAACAAGTCATGCCAGCCTCTATATAACTGGAAGAACACAGTGTGTCCATCAACACCAGGTTCATCCGAACGTGACAAGACGTCCGTAAAGGTTCCAGCAGCCCGTATCCATCAAAGCTATCGATCAAAAGTTCATCCCCATCACGCGAGAATTGGGTATCCAGCATCCGAGCGGCGGAATTGACTGGCTGCGATTGGACAAACCGGGCGGTGCGAAAGTCCGGGCCAGCTTGTGGAGTAGGGTGACATGCTCATCCCTGCCCAGCAAGCTCGCTACCGTCGACGCGATGCAACACTCCAGGGATGGAACCATCTAAGCCTATTAACCAACGGACGTGAGCTGTTCGGCATTTAGAGCTCGAATAGTGGGTTCTGGGCCTCGGGAGCAGCCACGGGCGTTGATGATCCATCCAGAACCATCTTGCCATCAAAATCCGTCAGTTCAATTTGATGCTTGGCCTACTAGGGTACCCTAGCCTCCTTTTCCCTTTCCTCCTCGTCCTCCACGCTTTCTCTCCGCTCCTTCCTCTATCTCCACTGCCCCAGTGATTTCCTCTCATCTCCCCCATAGTCTGGTCGCTTCCTTCCCGATCCCTTGGGACTGTCGTCTGCTTCTAGGATATTCTCCTGATCTCTTAAAGTCCTCAAGTGGTGCTGTCACTCGCTCTGGTCTTTTCACCTGCCTGACCCCTTGCTCTCGTTTCCGTTCGCATCTCCTCAAGTTCAGTTCAGGACCGTCGAAATACCGTTATTTCACTCCACCGTCGTTGTCGTTGCGCGTGCTCCCCCGTACATTCCGACTTTTCTGTAAGTAAGCCTTGGTTTCCTCTAGATCTGAGCAGTTGCCTTGAGTTTTCGGTGCTGAATGGCATGTCCATTCGTCTCATAGAGCTCCCGGACAACGCCATCATCAAACTCCAGTTTTCTCTGTTACACCAAGATGTTCCATGGCGATGCATGATTACTCACCATTAGTTTGTACACAGTGAACGAACATAATCAATCCATCCACTAATCCACCGGTACACGATAATTGAAGTCCAATCTTTCATAATGGTTGCCTACAGCACTACTCTCCTGGCTCTTGCCAGCTCCTTGACCCTTGTCTCCGCCGATTACTGGGTCAACACAAGCAACATCGACATTGGCACAAAGCGTACGTATCAATCAAGTCGTCCATCGGAGCGTTACTGGTAAACACAGACTAACCGGACAATCAGGAAACTGGTGCCTGAACGAATTGGCCAGCTGCCCCCTTATTTGCCAGCAGGAGGATCTTGGTCCTGTCGACAAAAACCTTTGCGATGCTGTATGTGAATAAAAAAGCCCTCCTCGAAGCCGACTGGCCTGTCTCTTGTAAAGTTGCTAATTTCTGAATCAGGACACCCTTGAATACGCCTGCGTTTGCGGCAACGGCCAGACTCCCAATTTGACTGAGTACACTTTGACAATTCCTTACCACACCTGCGTCGAGTGGGTTCAGGAATGTATTCACGACAACATGGGCGACAACCTTGCGCAGGCCGCCTGCGCCGAGGACCACCCATGCGGTGCTAAGAACCCCAAGAGATCCAACGCGACCACGACGTCGACTGCTTCTGCTACCGCGAGCCCAACCGCTTCCAGCACAGGCACCGGCGTCTATAACGGCCTTGCCGGTGGTAGCAGCGATGCTGCGGATTCGAGCAACAATGGCGGCCACAAACAGAACGCTGCTCCCCATATGCTGGAGTCGATTAGCGCAACCCTTATCTTCGGCAGTCTCTTTGCTGGTTTCGCCATCATGCTCTAGGCTAGCGTTATTTTGACGTTTGCGATCATACCGGATGTGCGTCGGGCTTTTGGGAGGGAATCAAATGTTAAAGAATTGACCTTCTGACGGACCATCACTTGCTGCCCGATGGACGGCAGCAGAGTCCGTTGAGGCCAAAAGGGAGCTTTCAGGATATGGAGCAGTGGAGGATGTCATCGATCATATGCCCTCACGGAGCCACCACACGCTATCCTCAACACCACACTAATATTTCAACAAGCGCATGGACAGTCCTTCCTTTTTTTAAGGCGTTTCTGGAGCTCTATGGCATCTTGCGAGTTTTTGGATGGAAAGGGGAAATCATTTTGTCAAGCGGTTGCGGGGCGTTTCTCTCAGTTTTATGTACATGACTACTGTGGTTAACACGCCTAATTGTGGAATGTTTATTGTGTCACACCATGATTAACGGTTTCTGGATTTGGCATCGGATCATCTTGTGCAACTTCGCCTATCTTGTCTGATATTGCTTGGCCCCCTCAGTGTTCTGCGGCGGTTCAGGCTATACTATCCGACGAGCTGAATTTCTCCTATAATGCCAGCTGTACTTCGGGCTGTACCTAGTTGTATGTCAGTTGTGGAGTAAAAGACACCTTGATAGTATACTCGGTAGAAGTTCGCTCAACCTGAAACAGGTTGTTAGGTAGTGTAGATGAAGATGCAAGCACATATCGTCAATGGACACAGAGATTAGGCGGTGACTGCTTCAAGCAACCTTCATGGACAGGGGGTTTTCACGTGTCAGTGTAAACAGGCGCGCCAGCGAACTTTTGGGACAAGGGGTGCAGATCCTGACCAGCCGCCATGCGCGTACACTTCAGGGACTGCGTTTTCGCAGAGGCAGTTGGCAGGACCGGGCCTGCCCTGCTCTTGGTCTTGCTTCGTTTCAAACCACGCCTGGGATGGGACTTCTACGACGATTCCACGGCACAGACTTATTCGGATGAAGCCTGGGCTACCTACCTGAGTCCCAGCGAGCAGTCGGCTTCTGAGGGAAGCAGATTGTGGAGGGAAAAAAAAAAAAAAGAAAGAAAAAAGAATATAGTGTAAAGCTTCGGGTTGCGACTCGTTTGTGTGGGACCGCACTAGGGATTGGAGACCGCAAAGGTGGAATATAATTGCTTACTGTAGTATACATGATCGATATCTTCCGTCGCCTCCTTCACTCAAGGGTGGTGAGTGCGGCTCCTAGGCGTGCCAAGGCTATACTGAGGAGAGGGTGGAAGAGAGCCTTGGCGCCCAGAGTCAGAAGCTCGCCCACCACCCTTTTGGGCCCTTGAGTAATACGTAACCAATGTTTTTGTGTTTGGAGTGCTGTCACCGCCAAACTTGCCCCCCGGTTTTTTTTTTGCTCTCGGGATTTTGTAGCCTTGCTCCAAAAGCAAAGAGTTGTAAGGGTCGATCTGGCAGCCTTGAATTCCTTCCTGGTACAACTCCTTTCAACATCGCGCCCCGCGCTCTCGCACTCCGCCTCTCGTCACCCGCAACAATCTTCCACCCACTGCAGACACGGTTTCCCGCATAACTCGGTCTCAAGTGGCGGCGGAAACGAACTACGAAAAACCAACCCGACCACCCTGTGTCTGCCTGGCTGTTTTGGCCGTGGTAGGCGAATCGAGCAAAATGGCCACTCCCAGTTTGCTCAGAAGTAACAGTGCGCTACCTTTTCTGTAACAATCCTGGCCCCCTAACAAACCTGCCCTGCTGCCAACCAACCTGCCCCCCGTCGGCCATTGTCCAGGCGAGGCAGTTGCCTGCCCTTCACCCGAAGTTGCCCGCGCGAATGCCATCTGCCCAAGACCCACTCTCCAGGGCACATGTCACCACGACCGTGACCGCAGACGGGTTACTACTTTGAGTTTCCACTTACTGCGTGGTCTATGTTATTGCCATCTCCGTCGCATCGTCCACCAGGGGATTCAAGTCGGTCGTTACCTCCAGCTTGCTGACATGAAGGATTCGATATCTGCAGAGAAAGCCGCCGCCGAATGCGTCTCGGACGATGCGCTTATCCACCTCAAGACGTACAAATATTCGGCCGTCGACAAGTCGCCCGTCTCCAATTACATTCTTAAGCCCTACGTATGTTTGCCCCAACGCGAGCGCCTCCCTCCGTCTCGACAGGCCTGTGAACATTGCGAAAGACATCAAATGCTAAGATTGAGGCGGTAGTGGAATGCCTTCGTCGAGTTCCTGCCACTATGGGTTGCCCCCAACATGGTGACCCTGATTGGGTTCTCCTTTATTGTGGCTAATGTCGGCCTCTTATTGATATTCATGCCAGATCTGGTTGGCCCGGTAAGACCCTCGAAACTATCCAAGGCATCAAGAGCAGTTTCGTTGCTAACCGATGACATGATTTTACCGTGTAGGGTCCTTCATGGCTATACTTCAGTTTCGCTTTCGGCCTCTTCGCGTACCAGACGATGGACAATGTTGACGGCAAACAGGCGAGACGCACCGGAACCTCTAGCGGCCTCGGAGAGCTCTTCGACCATGGCATCGACAGTCTCAACTGCACACTCGCTAGCTTGCTCGAAACTGCCGCCATGGGCCTGGGTACTACCAAGGCCGGTGTCTTCACCGCGCTATGTCCCTGTCTGCCCATGTGGTTCTCGACCTGGGAAACATATCACACCCACACCCTCTACCTCGGATACATCAACGGACCTACAGAAGGAATCCTGATCGCCTGCTTGCTGATGGCGATCAGCGGGTGGTATGGCCCTGAAATCTGGTCCGAAAGACTAGCCGATAACCTCCACCTGTTCAGCTTCCTCGGGTTGAACGAAGAGAACCTGGGCGACACCTCCTTTCAGGACATTTGGGTCTACTTCCTCATTGGCGCCATGTTCTTCCACATTCCGTTTTGCATCATCAACGTAGTCAATGCCCGCCTGTCGCGCAACGAGCCTCTTCTTCCGGTCTTCCTCGAGTGGACCCCTATAGTCGTTTTCACGCTCAGCGTTGGCACTTGGCTCTATAGCCCATACTCGACATTGATGGATGAGAACCACCTGGTGCTTTTCTGTGTTACCATGAGCTTCGTCTTTGGCCGCATGACCACCAAGATGATTCTCGCTCATCTCACTAAGCAGCCCTTTCCCTACTGGACCGTCATGCTCTGGCCTTTGATCGGAGGTGCCTTGATCGGAAACCTCCCTCGTTTCGGGCTTCCTGCTGTCACGGCGCAATTCGAGCACCTTTACCTGTGGGCTTACCTGGCGTTTGCCTTCGTCGTCTACTCTCGCTGGGCCTGGTTGGTCACCACGAGCATTTGCGACTTCCTTGGCATCAACTGCCTTACCATCCCCCTCGAGAAGCAGATGGCCAACAAACAGATCGCCAGGGAGATCGCGGCGCAGGCTGCTGCCGCCGTCCCCGTGGGCCCAGCGAAGAAGGATTAAGTATAGCGCGTAAGCACAAAAGCAACGCAAAGACCCGAAAGTTCTTTTCTTGCACCTATTTTGAATCTGGCTTGGATAGAAGCTTAGAGATACTAGAATCGAATTACACCATAGAGCGGCCGAAAAGGCTAGACTGGCGTGTGCAGCGTTACCTTTCGCATATAGAGCTCGGAATGCATCGGTATCACGACATATATATCAGATACCCTCAAGGTTATGGGTTTAATGTCAGGAAAGATCAAGAAAAACGAAAACAGGAACCAGTGCGTGGAAACGTCGGGATCAAGGGCAACACATTTTGGAAAAGCAGTGGACAGAACAGTTTTCTTTGGTTGAGTTTGTCAGTGTGGATGTCCCAAATAATCGGGATAGATTCATGAAGGATGAGGGATGAGTATGACAGAGTCGAGATGGCTCTTTAATGAAGTTGGTCAATACATGAAAGAAGGACTTCCACTAAATGTAGTCGCTTTCGTTGACTCGATTCTACGTTTGGAAACGTCAGAAGTTGAAGTAGGAGTTCATAAGCCGCACTAACAGAACGTGGTCCCTCAGTTCCATGATCTGGATGGTACCATTCAACTGAACGAGATGTTTGGATTCTGCGATCTGGCCCCTTTCCCCGCACATCACTTCTAGGGGCTGTTAGTGAGAGCACACTCGGACCAGGTACTAGACCACCCCTGTCCGTCGAGAACACCTTTCTTCGGCGCGTCTAGATCTCATTTCTATGTCAGGAAAGACCTCGCTTGATTCAGTAGGATGAAGTTGTGGGAGTCAGACCATTGCACCATCCGGATAGTTCGCCGGTGTTTGAGTTCTTGCATTTGAGTTTCCGGGGGAATTTAGAGATAAACATTGGCCTGCGGAATTATTACCAACCATGGACTAGACGACCTGTCACCCGGCCAACCAAACAAACTCTCAAGACAACTTGTTTCGTCAACAGCACCACAACCGCAACTCAAGTTGCAACGCGTCCGGAACGACTAGGGAGATGGTGACGATGGCACGGCACATTGGGCTTGACCCGAACAACCCCCAGTGGCACCGCTCTTCAACCTCACTCTCACGCCATCTCCTCTCCGCCCTCCTTCTCACAACCACCATCACCATGGGCGTACACGCCTACACCCCTCTGTCCACTTGCACCCTCCAACACCTACCCTCTGGGCCCTCCTCCGACTTCGACATCCACAATGGCTTCGGGTCTAGCTCTCTCCTCGCCCCCATCTTAATCCCACGCGTCCCCGGTACCGAAGGCTCCCGCCTCGTCCAGCAGCACTTTGTCGATTTCTTTTCTTCCCAACTACCTGACTGGACGCTCGAGTGGCAGAATTCAACCTCCACGACGCCCGCAACAGGGTCCCAGCTCATCCCGTTTGCGAATTTGATTCTACGAAGGGACCCACCTTGGGCAAAGGCCGGGAATGTGAAGAGGTTGACGCTCGCGGCGCATTATGATAGTCTGTTTAGACCGGAGGGGTTTATTGGGGCTGTGGATAGCGCGGCGCCTTGTGCCATTTTGATGGCGGTGGCGAGGGCGGTGGATGGGGCGTTGGGGAGACGGTGGGAGGAGGTCATAGCCGCGAAGGAGAAGAGGGAGGGAGGTGGGGAGCGGGATGCTGGTGATGGGTTGGAAGATGAGGAAGGCGGGGAAGAGGAGGAGGAGAAGGGAGTGCAGATTGTGTTGTTTGATGGTGAGGAGGCTTGGGAGAGGTGGACGAATACGGATTCGACTTATGGCTCTAGGTATGTGGTTACTACTCCTGTAGTGGGATGGATGTCGTCCTCTGCTGTGTTGATGATGAAATCATTGGAATCCGTACTAATAAACATATTATTTTTCCCGGCAGAGCACTGGCCGAAGCCTGGCAATCATCTCCATACGAGGACTCATCAACCCACTCTAACCGGCTAGAGTCCATCAGCCTGCTCGTGCTCCTGGATCTCCTGGGAGCGGGCAACCCCCGGATTCCGTCCTACTTCTGGGACACGCACGGGGCGTACGGAGACTTGGCCAAAATCGAGACCAGGCTACGAAAGCTGGGAATTTTGGAAACGGCTCCCGCTTCGCCATTCTTACCGGATAGCGAGAAGCCGTATAACCGGTTTACGAGGGGGTATATACAGGATGATCATGTTCCGTTCATGGAACGTGGTGTCAAGGTGTTGCATATCATACCCACGCCGTTCCCGCCCGTGTGGCATACTATGGATGATGATGGGGAACATCTTGATCTGCCGACTGTGAGGGACTGGGCTAAGATCATGACGGCATTTGTTGCTGAGTGGATGGATCTCGATGGGGTGCTTTCGCAGGAAAGCTGCGCTGCGCAGAAAGAGAAAGGCAGCGGGAGCATGGAGAAAGACGAGCTCTAGTGATACGGGAGGGCTGGTTAGGTTTAAACGGCTAGAGTTTCTACAATTATACTCTGAATTTTCATGAACAAAAAGTAATTACCTTGAAAACATACACCGTAACAGTGACTGTATCGACGAGTTTTGAAGTTGAGAAGAAAGTATGATCATATCGAATGTGTAAGTGATGGGAGTATTTGAGCGAACCCCGGGCGTGAATCAAGTAATTACCCTCCACGTAATTGTCTTGGCGGATACGGTACGTCCTTGCATGGATGGGAGCTCTGGCCGTCTGGAAGCTGAACGTGTTCATTGAATGCCCCAAAGTTTCACCACTGGCGCATCTACGGATTTACGAATCGATTGCGCTTCTGCCGTAAAACTGTGCTCTGTTTCGACAAAAGAACTCCTAGCACACATCAAGAAAGATGCGATTAACTCAGGCAATCTTGCTGCTTGCGGCGGGCGCTGCACAGGCAGCATCGTCTTGGAGCTTCGACGACGCCAGTATCTCGGTTGCTGCCAAGAAAGGCAGTGATGCTATCAAGGAGAAGTAGGTTCGCGCCCGAAGACCATGGGATTATATGCCCCTCCCACAGACCTCAATTACTAACACCCGTTTGCGCAGGTTCAGTCAGAAGGCCCCTCTTACGAAACCCGTTGGACTTGGAAGCACCGATACTGTCAAGGTCATCTTGACTGCGAAGGAAGATGGCAAGGCGAAGCGGCCTCACCAGGCCTTTGTGACCATCAAAGAACAGGAGACTGGCCTTGAGGCCCCTTTTCCTTTGACAGTTAAGGATACTGGCAAGGCGGTGGTACAGATTGTGAGTTACTCCACGAAAGGCAACATCGGATCGTTGAGAGCTTGGAATTAACAGTTCGGCGCAATGCAGTCCCAGAAGGATCTCCCTGTTCAATTTCTCTTGTCGCCCAAGCCCCTCAAGGCCTCCGTGGTCATCGGTTCGTTCGGTGAAGCTCGCGCTGTCAATACCCCCGTCTTTGATATCGAAATCCAGACGGATCCCAACACCCCGCTGCCCAAGTATGAAGCGCCTATCCGCTACGGCAAGAAGCCTGAGATTCACCACATATTCCGCCCTGATCCGCAAAGCCCGCCCAAGGTGATCTCGCTATTCTTCGCCCTTGCTGTGGCTGCTACAGTTCCGGCCCTTTTCATCAGCGTGAGTTGTTATATTCATTATCCACCTGTAAACACGTGCGGTGTTGTTGCTGGTGCTAACAATTTTTTTTCTTCGGCAGTGGCTTTTGCTCGGCGCCAACCTCAACCACCTGACCAAGGCTCTCGGCGCCGCGCCCTTGTCGCATCTTACCTTCTTTGGCTCCATCGTGGCCATGGAGGGTGTGTTTTTCATGTATTATACCAGCTGGAACCTGTTCCAGATCCTTCCTGTTGCTGGCGTGGTGGGCATCGTCACCGTGCTGAGCGGCACCAAGGCTCTTGGAGAGGTTCAGAGCAGACGTCTTGCGGGGGAACGCTAAGCAACAAAGATGCACATTTGGAGATCGATGCACGAATACTTCCATAATTAGGCGTCTGCAAGCGGTCAATGTGCGACTGACTTGTGTTGCACGCTAAGAATGGCTGGGGATGCTCAAGATTATCACCCATATATACAACAGCGTGACTGATTTGATAGGCAAACCTAGAAATACAGACCATGTACCAAGAACGGGTCAAAATTCCAAGTTGCCTAGGGCGGTGGCGGCTTGATTGTCTCTGTCAAGTCTGATGATGCCGCACATCGGCCATCCCACGACTGCCTCAAAGGAAGTAAGGGAGCATCAATGGACCAAATTCATCTAGGAAACGTACCATGGTCAAGAACTGCGGGATTGTCACAAAGTGAGGTGGCTGGCAACGATCGCAATTTGAACCTCGTCTCTTTGGTTGCTTCGGTCACCTCAAACGGGAACGAGGTGAGACGTGGATGGACCTGAATGCTGTGCGGGTTATGCCGATGGTTCCTTGCTGCCGTGCTTGGTGCCCGATAGGCGGGCGGAAACGAAAATGCAAGAGAGACGGTGTCTCCAATGCTCTGACTTCTTGAATTTCGGTGGTTTTTGCCTTCATTTAATACAAAATACTTCAGTGTGCAAACTGCATTCACGACGTAGAATCATCATGTATTTGGGGAAGGCAGCGGAGGTTTCCTTTGCATCAATGAGCCAGGAGCTGCAAGTGGTACCCAGCAGATAGACGGTAGGCGATCCAGCCAGTCAATAATAGGGGAAGCGCTAACAGCGGTACACTAGTGTTGAGGGCAGTGAACGGAGCAGGTTCCGAGTTGGGTGTCCACCACAAGGAACACGCCGACCGTGGCTACCCCACTTTCAAGCTCCCTTATAGTGGATGTAAACAAATGCAGCAGCAAATGGACAAATGAGAGCTCTGGTTTCCATCAGATCGCGTTTTCTCCAAATTCCCAGCCTGCCACTTCCACTTGCACCCACACATCCCGTTTTCTTTCCACCGAGTCGCATCCAAACCCGCTTGGCCCTGTCCCCTGCAGGTGCAACACCATTGACGTTGGGCTCTTTGGGAACTCGCAACTTCAATCAATCGCGCCGCATTTCGATTTCGCTCCCCGATTCAGCATGCGCACAGGATCTCGGTTTTCAGCTGAATTATCAAGCGCTCGTTCCTGATCGCTGTGCTTCCTTTTCGACTCGACCATTTTCACGGATACCCCTTCCATTGCGGCTACTTGCGACCCGCAGAAAAGAAAGCGCAACGCGCTCGAGCGGCGAGAGTCTTGCCGGTGTGTTGTCGCTGCTTGCGCCTGCCCTGATTCCGGGTTGGCTAGAGAGGGATCCGTCCACCAACCGTGACTGGACGCTGGCCAACACCACGCTCGACGCGCCCCTCCGACCTCGGTTCCCAACTTGCTATGGACATCAACAGAAATACCAAATCCCACAATAGCAAACCGAAGCATATCTCTAGGTTAAAACGCGAGATGTACCAACTACGGCTCAAAAACAACCCTTTCGGCTCCCCGCCCTCATCCACCGGCGACCATGACACGGTTAGCACCACCACCGAGGACCTCTCACGTAACCTGTCGGCCTTCTCCTTTAATCCCGACGACGAGGGCACTCGCAAGGCCAGCGAGGACTACAGGTTCCCTACCAAGCGACACGCTACTCGCTCCGGCCGTTTCGGCTCACGGCAGCAACAAGAACAGCAACAGGCCACCATGCTAAACACCTCGGCCATCGGCCGCGCCTTTCCTGAATGGACCGGCCCAATTAACGACACGGCCCCAACAACACAGAACTTCGATACCAATATGGGCTACAATCCATATCCCGAAGTTAAGAACCGCAAAGAGAACGTCCGCCCCATCACCGAGCTAACGGAGGAGCACCTCCTCAACTACGGGTTGGATCCTAAAAAGAAGACCCGTGTGGAGATGCAGCCTCGAGTTGAGAACGAGTCCGACTGCTCAACCATTCTGTCCAGATCGCCTGGCCGGGGCGCTCGTCGCTCTCGTTTTAGCAACGCCAACATGGAAAACAGAGTTGCTTCACCAGAAGTCCCCAAGCGCTCTCTCCAGGATATCGTTTCCAAGATTCGTACCGAGAAGGAAGCCAACAAAAACCAGTTAGCCCAAAGCGCGCTACCACCGAAGCAATCCCGGCCTATACATGCCAGTCTCAACGCCTTCCTGAACTCGGACCTTGCTGCGGATCAGACTAATGCGGGCCTTACTGAAGGTCGATCTTTCTTTCTTCCGGCTTTCAGACATCTGCCCGACTGGACATCAGGCGCCCTCAGATTTGATGCCATGAAGGATGGTGTCCCTGTTTTCGTCAAGTCTGGTAAGAACGGCGTACGGCTCGGTCAGTCCGGCGACCACGAATCTATCAATGCTGTCGGCATTCCTGAGGAGGATGAGCAAATCTTTGTCTCCATGGATAAGCTCCAGGAGGAAGTTCGCGAGCTCCATGATCATGACGCCATGCTCCAGCGCGAAGCGGAGAAGCTTCAGCGAGAAGTCAATCAGCTCCAGTCTGAGCTTAAGCGTTACAAGACTAGGAGACCATCAGACAGTGCCATAGGATCAGACTCCGATGGTTCTTTTGGCCGACATGCTCAGGCGAATGGGTACCAACTTGAGACTCAGATTGCTCAGCTACAGAATCGTCTCGATCAGGCCAGCAGGCAGGTTGGAGTACAAGACATCCACAGCACAGCACTCGCGGCGGAACGTGACGAAGCCTTGCATCAGGCGTCACTTGCTCGCGAAAGAGCGAAGCGACTACAGGCTGAGCTTGAGTCTACGCAAAAAGATCTTGAGTTCACCCTTCAGTACCGCAAAGACAAGGACGCCCTACAAAATGAGAACATCACTCTGCGCACTACCAATGAAGAGCTTAAACTGAAGAACGAAGCTCTCTCGCAAGCGAACCAAGAAATTTCCAACAAGTACGACAAACTCCGACGGGAGCACCTATCAGCACAAAAGGACCTGGCTTCCACCCAAGAGGAGCTTGCTTCTTTGCGCAAGAAGTATGATGCTATCTTGGAGGAGAAGAAGCTTATTGTTCAAGACCATGCGAGCATGGAACGTAACAATGAGAGCTACTTCAAGGAGACCAAGAAGCTTCAGGCGCAAATTGCCGCCAGGGATCAACATATCGCCGATCTGAAGAGAGGAATCAACACTCGGGACCAGATGATCGACAACATCGGGGGGTTGACAACAAACACTGCAGTCATTGAGCTCAACGCTGAGCTGGAGGCCGAAATCGAACGTTTGAAGCAGAAGCTGCAAAATCAAGCGACCAGGACTGATGATAGAGATGGCTCAAGCAGCGCAAAAGAAAGCAGGATTCGTGCGCTCAAAGAGCAGAATCTCGAGCTAGAATATGAGAAGCAGAAGCTCCTTGAAGAGAACCAGCGGCTTCGCGCCGAGTATGAGGAGCTGAAGGGCCAGTGGATCGATGATCGTCATAAGGTGGTTCGACTCAACCAACTCCTCACTAAGAACAACACTGAGTTCCTGAAGACCATGAACGACAATACCGAAGACTGCGTCCGCTTGGAGGAGGACTTCAAGAATAAGGAGGCATCTCTCCGTCAAAAGCTGGAGCGCCGGGAGGCAGCTATCAAGAAGGTCAAACAGTTGACAGCCCAGATCAACGAGATCTCACAAAGGGAACTTTTGGGCAAGCCTACAAAGGTCACTCGGATCATCGAGCCGAGAAATGGCACTAGCACTGGATATGCTGCGAACGATCTGACTGGCAAGAGCGGTACTATGAATGTTGACGACGACCCGACAACGGAACTTAACCTGACCCAAGGGACCGATTTTGCCAGCGTCATGGATAACGAGATTGCGAAATTGAGGCAAACTTACCGAGATCTCGAAGATCAGCAGCGACAAATCGAAAATGATAATACCACACAACCGTCTCAAACAGGTGATGCGGTCCAGTCTAAAAGCCAACCGGTCGGTATCCTTAAGAAGTCGAGTCGGTTTGGGTTTGACGAAGATACTGGCCGTTTCAGCGTTGCCAGTCACCACAGCGAAGACGAGTCTGTCAAGACTGCAACTACCAGCAAGAGCCGCCGGCCTTCGTCGATGGGTGTTCAGGGTCAGGAGACTCCGCGACCTGCATCTCGCGTGCGGCGAAACTCGGACAACCCCACCATCACCACGCAGACCGATAAACAGTCTAGCCTTGGTCATTCGATTCCCGCGCTAAGCAAGGAGGCTCGCCGGGTACTGGATCAAATCTGCAACCACAAATCAGATAACTGCAATGTCTGTGTTCGTATCGCGGCGAACGGACATCATGTTAGCCCGTCCACCAAGGCTCCGATTACTGTTGAGGATATGAGAAAGGGGAAGAAGACTGTTCGCGTGGACAGACCTGTCCCTGTCTCGGACCGCGCAGTTAATGACCATGGTAATTATGAGGAGGAGCCAACCATGCGTCCCGCCATGGCGCCAGGTGATGCGCTTGCGGTGTTAATCAAGGAGATTAGCGATGAAATTGAGCATCTTCAGATGGAGCTGAAGCATATGAATGAGCTTTATTTTAGCCTGGACAAGTCTACCGGACAGCGCGAGCGTAGGCGGATCATGGGAGAGATCAAGAAGCTGCAAGCCGAGCTTGAGACAAAGAGCGGGCAGTTGTACAAGCTGCATGATGTTCTTGAGGGACAGAAGAATGCCGGTCAGCTGATGGATGACTCCGAACTTGATATCACCATTTTGAGTGATCTGCTTCGCGTTAATGGCGCGACTGAGAACAATCGGGAAGCTTCATGGAATGGATTTGATGAATAAACCCGGACGAGACGGTGGCACTGGTGATGATGAGTTTGGTCAGGGGCGTTAGCATTTTCTTCGGAGCACATTGCATGGGTCTGCTTTTATTTCTCGGCGTTGAGCAATTGGTTTGCTTTTCTCCGTCTTAATGTCGAGCAAGGCGAAGGGATTGTTACAAAAGCGTTTCCGTTGGTTTGCTATGGTATGGGATTTGGTCAGGTCTTTTTCTCATGAGGAATAATTTTTGTTGTATGACTTTCCCCGTGGTCGTATCGATCGCAACTCGGGAGCATCGTTCGAGTTATTTGATGTAGGGATTATAGGAAGGCTACAGGATTACGAATAGAATTGACAAATCCGTTTTGGGGTTTAAAAGAGGTTTAAGTCTTCCCGATGAACCGCAACGATTGCGTATACCTTTGTATTGTCCGCGAACCATCCATCGACTCTGTTTCAGGAGCTTAGAAAGCAGGGGCATGGAAAGTTGTATGGGTTGTAAGTAGTCTGGTAGCCTTTCATTTTGAAGAGAGCATTAATCAATAGCGAAAACGGTCCCATCAAGTCCGTTATGACTGGAGTCAAATTGTTGCATGTCGTAAATGGCCAGCTTCACCAAAGTCATGCTCGCTGTTGTCTGTTTATGTTTATGTCCGTAGCCCCTTTCCTGATCACGAAGAGCCAGGCGTCTAGAAGCTGCTGCCGGGCCGATGCCAGCTGTCCACCTCTAAGCCTGCCTACCTGCAGCGACACACAGTTTGCTGCCACCGGCAGGGCCCGCGGCCTGAACTTCAGTTCCAGTTCACGACTTGAGGTACCTACGCCAGGCACGCGCATCCACCATTAGATCGAAACCACTTTACATTCAGCGCGTCAAACGAAACACTTCTCCCACCCACCGACGTTACAACTCCAACCATATAACTCAGCTTTCAGCGCGCTTATCCCAAACGTACTACATCAAACTATCTACGACCTCCTGCACTCAACAAATCCGAGAACGTAGAAGCTGCTAAAATGGGTGACGACATGGAAGTCGACAATGCGCCCCTCTCGCCTCAGCAGGAGGATGCTGCTGCCTCCGGCGGCGCCAACGCCAACTCCGCCAAGGTCGCGGCCATGCAAACCCACACCAAGGCGACTGCCGTGCGCTCCATCGAAGGCTGGATCGTCATGGTGACCAACGTACACGAGGAGGCCGATGAGGAAGCCATCCAGGACAAGTTTGGCGAGTTTGGCGAGATCAAGAATTTGCATCTCAACTTGGACAGGCGAAGCGGTTACGTCAAGGTTCGTTTGTGGCTGCGCCTCCATCTTCTATCACCTATTGGCGTAGGATTTCGGAATAAAAATAAAGAGTCACTAATCATGTCGTTCCGTGATGCGCAAATAGGGCTACGCATTGATTGAGTATCCGACGCTTGAGGAGGCGCGCGCCGCCATCGACGGTGCCCACGAGACGAAGCTCCTCGACCAGACCATTCAGGTGGACTTTGCCTTTGTGCGACCACCCCCAGGCAAGACCGGCGGCGGCGGCGGCCGTGGTGGAGGTGGTGGTGGTGGCGGCGGCGGACGCAACGGTCCTGGCAACCGCAATAGGGGTGGTCGGAGTAGGAGCCGCAGCCCCGTAGGCAGGGACGAGTGATGACGGGATAAAACAACTCGATGCGTCTTTGTCTTGCGCGAAAAATGGGATGGGAGGAAGGAAATGCCCTTTGAAGCCTGGGCATATGGCTGCTAAATTCCCGCTAACTACAACACCAAGGAGTATCCAGCCAGCTGGAGTTTTCCAATGACGGGTGGAATCATACTGGAATAGCAAGGCTTGCTGCAGCGCTATGTTGGTCCTCAACCGAACGGACAATAGCCAAAATGGACGGGAATCGATGAGAACAGAGGATACAAGAACATTGGAGAGAGAGTCGGGTTCAGGTAGAGACAACCTGTAAACCAAGAACTACGCTCAAGTAGCCGATGTGTCGTCAAAAGAGAGCAAAATCAAGGACACGTCGGCGCGTTGCCACGATCTTAACAGGTATGTTTGTAATTTCACCCCTTCTCACATGTAATTGTCACTAATTTAACTTTTTTTCAGGACATCAAATTGGCCTCGTAAAACATTGCTATACGAAAGTATTTACTGTGATGATATCTAGCATTAAGAGAGTCGGGGCTTGCTTAGATGCATGCATCAACTCTTCATTGGGTTTCCACACAATGATGAGTCTGCAACACCAGGCAGCGGCACTCGCGTGAAAGACCGTCTGAGCCGCATAAAGCCCTCGGTAAGAAACTGTATAGCGTGATGGATTCCTACGTGTGGTCCATGTTTGTCTAAACTCGT